GTTCAGCATTACTTGATACGGCCCATAGACCTCTAGGTAGCGTCCATGAAGTTTCTTCATGCGAGGACCACCCGTCGTTAGTAGTGCTCGCACAGCTCTCGACTCGGTGCGTGGCTCCACCAGCCTCAGATAATCTGCATATGTGTCCAAGTGCATCAAAGTGAACTCGGATGGTTCACTCAGATTTCTGATCACCTGATGTCCAGCCACTGAGATTATCGACTGTATCTCATTGCATTTTTTTTTGCCGCCAGCTCTTGAGGTTTATCCTTTCTGCGTGCATCTGCTTCACTCAAAAGTCGAGCCTGCTGGCTTTCACTCCTGACAAAGCTTCTTCATGTCTTGGATGCGTAATGTCTGCCACTGCATCCCAGAATTGCGGACAATCTGATTTAAAATGACCTTCCAAGTTGCAAAAGAAACACCTCGGGCCGAATTTTGCAATTACTCCTCTCATGAAGTCCTCATGGTCCAACTCTGACGCATCTTCGTCCTCGAGGCTGAAGCCTAGTGCTTTCATGCCTTGTTTGTAAGCTGGGCATGCTGACACATGATGGTCCGTTGAACTGCAATTAGCACAAGAGCGTCTCTTGCCCATATCATCCCTCGGTTTGTACCAATTGTTCCCTTGGTTTGCTGGTCCGTTGTTAAAATTGCCATAATTGTTCTTGTAATATCCAGATCTCGAAGGAGGTTTCAACAAAAGATACTCTTTTGATTTGAGCCTCAACTCCTCCGGTGTTGACGCATTGGTTGATAGTGGTGTGTAATGCGTTGCTAGCATCGTACGAAGTTCATCATTCTTCACACCATCGATAAATTTCGAGGCTACGGCCAAGTTCATTCTTCGGTTTGACTCGTCCGGTTGGCTGCGTCTCCTCAGCATTTCCAAATCATCGAGAAACTTGTCTATCGTTTCATCTTCTCGTTGCCTCCGTTTCTCGAAGCGCATCATCGCCTGGTGCCCCTGCACCCCTGATCCAAAACGGTTTAACAAGATTTCGAAGATTTTCTCAGCAGTGTCACGTTGATATTGCTTCTTGGCCATGACACAGTTCAGGGCTGTCCCTTCTAAGTTGCTGGTGAGCGCGCTGCATTCCTGTCTCTCCGACAAGTCCTCTTCCTCGAAATGCAGCTTCATTACCTCTATCCAGGTATCAATACAGCCATCAGATTCGTCTTTGTAGCATCTTGGTTTCTTAAAGACTCTTCTGGACTACTCACTGCGTTCATTGGTTCTGGATAACCTTGTCAGGAATGTCTCCAAAGACCTGTTTAGGGGTTCAAATGCTGTGGCCATTGCCGTAGCATCCCTTGAGTGTCCCGCTTGAGTGTCCTCACACCTCGTCAAAGGCTCTGTATGAGGTGCATCCCTGCAATCCGAATCGCCGTGAGTGTTTCCCTCTTGGCCTACATGACTCCTCCTCGGGCTCGCATGCCCCCTGTTGCCGGAATCACTTCTCCCAGTCGCATGTGTGCCTTGCGTTGGTCGTTCGTTAGAGGTTTGTCTGTTCCCCGTTGAACTTGCTCTACTGCTCGGGCCCCATGCTCCATTACCCCTTGTGGCATAGCCTGATGAACTGCCCCTGCCTCTAGTGGATCCGTACGTCTTCCTCTTTTGATGTTCATTGAAGTTCACCCTCGGTTCCCTGCTGGGACCTCCCGAGTTCGGTTCTCCTTCTTTTGGTCCACTCTTGCTGCTTAGTAGCCCGTCCAACCTATCCATGATAGCCTGAGTTCGCCTCTCCATCATCGCGTCTATCTTTGTGTCAAGAGTCCCAAGAGACTGCTCTTGTTGAATTCTTAACTTCTCCATGTCGTCTCTTAAGCGTAACTCTCGCTGTTCCGCCTCTCTTGTCATTCGCGACAAGTTCCTCGCCATATGTTCGTCCGTTCTTTCTTTCAAGCGTTTTTCGCTCCTCCCAACTTCTTGTCTGTTGCGGTTTATTTCTTCCCTCAGACTCTCTCTTTCAATGTGGACTGCCCTTTCTAGTTCACTCATCCTTATTGACATCTGCTCTTTTTGTTCTCCTAAACTGTCCACTATGTTGTTTAAGGCTTCCTCTAGTGCTGCCCCGATATCCACGAGTGGCGTCACTAGTGGTGGTGTAACCCTGTCGGTCCCAGGTAGCTTCGTGCTGGTCGAGATCCGGGCCTTAACTCTCTGCCTAGACGTCTTTTCATTATCTATTTCAGGATCCGCTAGCGCGTTGCCTAGCCCTCTGGTTCTACTCTCGCCAGTTTGTGGCTCTGAACTTGTCCTAATCGCGAAGTCTTTTGACTGGCCCGTTGTGTTTGCCTCTTTGCTTATCGTTGTCACTACACCAAATTTGTCCATGGTTCCAGTCTCTCTTCCGACGTGTGCCTCATTTTCCTGGATCGAACTATTGAGGCTGACTTGAGATCCAAAGTCCCCTTGCTCTTCTTCATCCTCTTCCTCCTGGGATTCACCGTCGTTTCCTGCTCCTCCTCCCATGCTGAATGGAAAGATGTTTCCGAAGGTGTTCTTCATTCTTTTTTCTGAGAATGATGATGACGTTGTTTGTTTCCCAGTTCCCCCTGCCATCATAGTGAAGGCTGAAGGATTCGGAAATTGCTAAATTTTAAAAATTCGAAATAATAAACTTCTAAATTTTAAACTTTGCAATGCGACCCAGCAGACCCTATTGGAACTGATTTTAGACGATGATTGAATCAATTTTTGTTATTGTTTAAATTGTCGATTGTGTATTTGCTTTGTGATGAACTCCATATTAAATTTTCTATCTCTTAAGCCTACCACGTAGGAAGAAAGACCCCCTTAATAAAAAATTTTGTTAATTTAAAAAAAAACAAAACCAAGAAAAGTTGTGTGACTTACATTTTGCTTACAAATATTGGTTATCATTTTGCAATTAAAGTTTTCATTTTTTTTGAAGGTCACATTATTGCCAAAAAATTGGCTTAACTAGATAACCAGCAGTTTTTAATCAGACGATGGATATAGTTTCGAAAACGTGTGAATTCTTATTTTGAGCTTTTTCTGCTTCTGGTTTACCAAAACAGCTGAGTCAGTTTATTCTTATTTTTAATTTTTCTGGTTTTCAGATAATGACGTGGCCGTTTAGATGCGCCTTACCTGATAACTCTACTTCGTCACCTGTTGAAACCTTAAAATGTTAGCGGTTTTCGTAGGTCACCACATGGGATTTTTTAATCGTAAGTTGAGAGTTACTTATTATCATTTAGCAAAATTGCTTAGCCCTTATTTCTTGACGGTGATGATGTTGTCTTGTTCTGCTAATTATGAAAATTGGTTCGTGTAGATATGGAATCGAAATTGCCATTAAACCGCATAACTGCCAAAAGCGCCCGGTTCAACCTATTAGCAGAAGGTCAAAAGTTTCATAGTAACCAAGGCTACATAGTAACCGAGGTTAAAGTATCATAGTAACCGAGGTTGAAAAATTCCAACCATGGAATTATTTTAGATATGGAAAAGTAAAGTGTAACGTGAATAGAAAACTTGTTTATAAAACAAGTTTTACAAAACAAATGATCGTTTTCAATAACTTAAAGCAATGCATCTTTTGTCTTCTGAGCTTATTCATGCATAATTTAAGCAGTGAAAACTTAGTTTTTCTTTAGTAAAGTTATTTATGGAGTTTTTTTTGAAATTTTTTAACGTTTTTTTTTTCGTTTTTCTAATCGTTTTGCTACTAAAACTATTTTGCTATCGGCTTATTTTACTCTGAATGCCGAATGTGCCAAAAACTGTTTTGCAATCGTTCTATTGTGCCTTAGTTCTATTTTTTCGTTCAAGTATTTTTTATCACACCACGCAGAAAAACGACACTAATTTGGAAAAAAATATAATTTGTATTTTTTAAGACTATGGTTACAGCAGCTTTGTTCCACTAATTTTTGCGTGTACCGGAGGAGCAACACCAGGCTCTACAAAAACCATCCAGAAACTAGCAGAGAAACTAAGCGAGAAACGGAACGAATCATACTCGGACACAATAAACTTTTTAAGAACAAGAATAAGTTTTGCACTTCTGAGGAGTGCAATCCTCTGCCTTAGGGGGTGCAAAAATCTTAAAAATACATCCAACATAGACAATTTTATCTGTGCTATAATCGCGAAGTCAATAATCGCTTCGCCTCTGTGTATGTTTTTCTTCCCGTCCAAAAATTGTGTTTTAAATGATTTTATAATGTATTTTACCTCTGCGTTAATTTTTATTGAAGTTTAAAGAGCTTCAAGGCCATTTTTATCCTTGTAGAATTTTCGAAATTGATCAGTAGTTTTTCGGGTTTTCTCGTGCTCATTGGCATTTTACAAAATGTGTTGAGAATGTAAAATGTTTCTCGGTTTATCACCAAAGCGGCTAGATCAAACGCTATCAAAGTTATAAACAAAGCTGTTGAGTGGCTTTTTAAATCTTGTGTTTTATATGTTTTGAGTAAAAAGATCCTAAATAGTTTTTAGACCGAGAAGGAGTTCAGTCCTATTCAAAAATTGGCTCAATGTTTCAGTATTTGCGAGTTAACTTGTCCGGGTAGAACTAGGGCTAAGTTGAGCAAACAATAAAATCGGTATTCGTAGAAATGGACATAAAGTTTCAAATCTGGCCCAGTCAATTTGAACTTAGAGACAAGTTAAGATCCTCCTCCCGACGCCGTTTGTACGAGACGGGGGAGGCGATGTGAACTGAAAATCTCAAACATGTCAAAATTGCATCAAGTTTATCAAGCATACTATCGGTACAAATATGATCCCTCAACAAAAAAATTTTTGATTGCAATTTAGTTTTTGAAATTGATATTAACATGCTAATTCGGCATAAAAGGATACGCCAAATTTATTGAAAAACTGAAAGAATTGAGTTAAACTATTTATTTTGGGACCATTTGAGTTAAAATGCATTCAATTCAGTCTGAAAATGCATTTCTTCATTTAAATGAAATCTGAATATATCATTTTCGTCCAATAGAATTTGACTTGGTTTATTTATACGAAAACAGCTTGATAATTTAATGCAAATTGTAATATCGAACAATTCCTGCTTAATTCCGCTCTAGCTCTGAATTTTACTTTCCGATTTGTCATTGAAATTTTAGCTGAAAGACATGATTCACTTGAATAAATTTTAAAAATGGTCATCTATTTTTTAAACAAACTAGTTTGCTGACTTAAATAACGTGTTAATAAATGGAATCTTTTTCAAGCAGCTTCTCTGTTACTATATCCGGAATAAGAAAAAACCAAGTTCAATGTCAAGGTAAGTTGATTGCATGCGCGTGTGGATTGCCGAAAGTGTTGTTTAAGCTCAATCCAAATGCACCGAAAATCTATCATCCTTGGTTTGGACCAACATTTATTCAATTTCGGCAAAAATCTTTGAATAACTTTGTTTAATTAATTTTAGCGGGTTACATTTTGATTAATATAGATATCAGTATTTAGTTGTAGCTTAAAGACAGCATTCGCATACGTATGAAATGTATTATAGTTGGGTCTTTAATATTTTGGGTCTACTTCCGTTAGTTGGATCTACTTCCGAAGACAGTTTTTGGACCACGATTTTTTTTTGGAAATGTCATGGCATAATATTCTGTGTACTTGCATTTTTGATCTTTTCATAAAGTGTTGGGGCCTCTCTTTCATATTTGCTCTTTCTAGGGATCAAAATATAATTGCTTGTTCTACAATATTAAGTTCAAAAGCGGATCAGCTGACATGTGAAGTTTTTTTTTGTTTTCAGTCTCGTGGAAGCGGACTTTGGTGCTATTTACCTCGCTACTTATCTTACTCGGAGCTTTATCAGATGCAGTGTCAATCAGAGAGTCAGATGTGCCAATAGCTCCTAGCTTTACCACCCAGATCAGTCCAGTTGTAGTCGTACCGGCATTTAATTCAACAGGCAGACCTGAAGTATACTGTTATGCTGTCGGCAATCCTGAACCAAGGTGTGGTCATACGTTTTTTTGGTGTTAGATCATTTCGAACTCTGTTTCACAGCTTATGAAACACCGTTTTGTTCCAACCATTGTAAATGAAAAGGAGTTTTTTTCTGCGGTTGTTTTTTTTAAATGATTTTTCACGCAAAAGCAGGTACCACAAATAATCATCGAATTCGGTCGAGTGATATATCATATTAAAGCCCTTATAATCGTGATCCGAACAAATGTTAAAAAATTTGTCCCAGTGTCGAGAAAAAAGCTTATTTCGAACGAGTAAAGCGATCTTATAACGCAAGTTTTTATGAAGTTGGTCATTTAGGATGAGAAAGCATGATATTACTAAAAGGAAAACTAGTTTTGGAAGCTTTATTTAGTTCGTCTTCGACCACAAAAATTTTTACACTTGCGAAGCTAGTGTATTAGTACGAACCTTTTTTTCCAATCCAAGTCGCAAATATTGGTGCCACTTTTGGGGCTCCTTTATAGATTTTTGATAGCATGTGCTTTGTCATTCGAATAGTAATAAATTAACACATGATGCATTTTTAATTCATCAAATGTACCAAAAAAAGCTATTTGCTTCAAACAACATAACAAAATAAAAACTCGATTTCAGAAGGTTTCTAACTCGCTATATTTCTACGTGTTTGTTTAGTTCTGTTATCATGCCACGCACCGAAAAAAAAAACAATTTTAGCTTGAAGAAAATAAGAAAAAAGTTGTTGTATGATGAAAGTGGTCGCAACACTCCGTGCTGCTTGCACAGCAACCTGATATCAAAACCGGATATCAAAATGAAATATTTATCAAGCAACCAAACTGAGAGAGTTTCAGCGACGTTCGAAGCTTTATTTGGAAATTAAAATGAAATTCACTGTGCTCGCGATAAGCAAGCCTTGTCAAATCGGAATATATACTTTTACCTGTTGTCAAACGTGTTCACAGCTCATTTTCTGTTTTTAAGAGTCGATGAGCGTAGTTCAGACTCTTCTTACAGAGTGAGCAGCGTAGTGTATTTGTACGAACCTTCTTTTTTTTCTAACCTAACTCGCAAAGAAAAATGTTCGCTTATTTGGTGGTATAATTATAAGTTATAAGTGTATAATGGTTTAATTATATATTATATATGTAAATATGGTATAAGTGTTTAATGGTATCCTTATATATTATAAGTGTTGACTTATTTGGCTATAATCACGATCTGTAGCATTGGAAATTTCATAGCATTTGTTCTCTGCTTTGTTTGTGGCCAGTGTTTGTGATGTATTAAGCGTCCGTGGCTGAGTGGTTAGTGCATGAAATTCTTATCTCAAAGTCGCAGATCGAATCCGAGACAGCCGTTTTTTTTTTACTAATTCGAGGCTTATTTCTAGGTTTTTTTATTCCACTTTATAGATCCACTTTGTTCATTTCCTCTGTTAAAAGGAAGGCAAACTCCACTATCGAACAGCAAAAGTTAAGAGGTCACGAGAAACGTCACTTCTAATTTCGAAAATGTATTCAAATTTCGAATTTAATTTTCAGATTTCCCAGCGAACATTTTTTTTCTGTTTAGTTGCGTTCATTGACTCTTTTCCTACTGTCTGTTGGCTATAATTTTTTTATTTCAATCAATTTTTTCTTTTCCAATTGTTTTTTTGCTTAGTGGTCTCATATTTCGTCGTTTGATGAGCGAAGAACGTTTTTCATTTGTCTGTTTTTTTTGAAAAACGGTTTTTCCAACTGCTCAGCGATTGTCTGCTCAAGTATTGTCGAATTTTTAACCGCTAAGTAAAAGAGTAACATTCAATCGTTTAATTTAGCATGCTTTTCTGAAGTCAATTTGAAACAAACAATTTATATCGCAAGTGGTGCGAAGCTCTGCTTCGCCTTTGTGTTTCACCGTTTTTGTATATCAGGTTTTGTATCATTTAAAAAAGTATCATTTTTTGTATGTGTTCTTTTTAGCAAGTATGAACTGTGGGTGGGAGAATTTTTCCTCGCCTCATCTACTGAACACCAGAGTGAGAAGGAAGGTACATCAGCCCCGCCCATCTCTCTGCTCCCAGTGGAGAACAGGGGTCCCCTGCTGGATCAGACGGGGGGACTCTATAGAGTCCAGTGCAAGGCAAAGGGGGAGGGACTGGGAACATCAGTCTCATCCTCATTTTTTGTCCAAGGTACTTTTCACAGAAATATATTTAATGCCAACCTCTTGCCCTATTCTATAAGAAATATAGCTAATGACAAAATGTTGATATTCTTATCGGTCAAAGGTTCTAAATGAATTTAAAGAGTTAAAAATGCGCTTTTGGATGCCGGATATTAAATCAAGACATACAGAGTTTCAAAAACCTGCTCAAATCCCTTATCTGGTCTATTACACAGCCCACAGGCAACGATATTTTAAGATTTTTATCGCGTATCCGATTGAAAACGTTAAGATTTTAAGCGCTTTTCCTGCATAAAGTAAGTAGATAGGAAGCGAGATTCTTCCTATGTCCCTAATTTACGATGATGATTTAGGGCTAATCAAGTTTATGTATTTACATACTCCTATTCAGAATTTAACCCGGGGTCATTTTGGGAAAAATCAAAAACTTTAGTTCTGGTCATCCGATAAACGAATGGTCGGCACAAGTTTTCAATATTTCAAACTTTCAACTTAAAGAAATAATGATGTTCAACTTTCTTCGCAAATTGTGTCTTTTGGGAAATATTTTAAGTCGACTTTCGCCTGTTGTCGTCATTCCGAGAAAACAATAGCCATGCATGTGGATAAAGTAAGTACTGTGATGTCTTTTAAGAGTATTTGTATATTTTATTTTATTGGTTCTCGTAAATGTTACTATTTATGGCCTTGAATCTAATTATGGTTTTTGAGGCGGTTGGACCTATTTAATAATCTTCGGTCAATATTTTCGGGGTTCAGAACTTGTGATTGCGATATTGTTTATTGGACAGCAAACCCGTTAGTTCGATTTTTGGTTGCTTAACGTGACTGAACGTACGGAATCAAATAGCACTACAGAAGGTTTACAGTTATTGAGCGGATTCAAATTGGACCGACTTAATCGGACAAGTTATAATATCAAACAAGTAGATCCACTGGAAAAGTGATTAGATCATGTTTGCCACTGCTTTCTAGCACAGCTTAGAAACCTTCTGAGAAAGCTGACAGATTGTTTATCTGCCTGCAATGTAACATGACGTGTCTTAAGTGAAAGCAAATGTTGAACAAGCTTCAGGATCCGATAAAGCCCAACTGTTGATCCAAAGTGCACACCTTGTAAGTTTGAAGTGTCCAGCTGAGAATTAACGGTTGATATCAACCAGCGCTGAAATTGATTTCTCTGTAATCTGTGAAACACGGATTTTGAATTTTGAAGAGCCCTTAATTTGATTCAGAGCTTTAAAGAGTTATCAGGAATTGGCGATTTTCTGAATTAAATAACTGATTGCTATGCAGACAAAAGCTGGATCTAAGTTAGAAGTTAAAAACTAAACAGCCAGAAGTACACAACTAAGAAAATTGGAGCGATTTGAAATTTAAATTCACAAACACGCCATCAATGATATCTTCGACATCTTTTGAACCTTTTTTTTGACGTTCTAAACTTGAACGGTCTTAAACATAATTCAATCATCCATAGAAGATGCCGTTTTCACGGTGACAGAGTCCGAGCTATATTTAGCTGGTCAAAATGCTTCAAATCTGTCATTAAGTTTTAAAGGATGTGGCTGTGCCCAAAAGCCGCCGTGATTTGAAAAAAACCTCAGTGTTTTGATTTCTCAATATGTCTTTTAAACTGTTTTAGTCATTAACGTTTCGCCACATGCATTCAAAGACGTGTCAGTGACATCTGGACAAAATGGAGCTTCTTTGATTTTAAAATGTGTGGATGAAAATCTAGAGAAGGACATTGACCAATCAAATGCAATATCGGGGGACCTACGCAGTCGGATTACTTGGGTTGACCAATTAGGCAGGACTATATCAGCCAGAGCTAGTTCGGAAACGGAAAGCAGTTTTGTGACTCACAGAGGCGACTTGGCGCTGCTGCGCTTGCAAGCGTCTGAACCTGTGTCCTATTGGTGCTTGCTGGATGAAACAAAGTTGTCAAAGATAAGCGTTCAAATTATAAGTAAGAGCCCGTTTTTAGCTTCTGGACTGTTTTTAACAGTATAATATTTGGTGAATTGGTAACAATTAGTGAGCTGTGTTGAGATTCACGTTTTTTTTTGCTCTAAAGACGTAGTAGATGAACAATAATTTGTATGCACGGTTCAAGTGATTTGTTTAAATGGTTGAATTGGCGTTATTTGGTGTCACTCGGGTTCATGTGCTTTAGATTCTGAAGAGTCTGAGAGTGAACAAAGTGAGTTTGTGTTGGAGCCAAGAGATACAGTGGCGATTGCTCACTCCACAGAGTTTGTCCAGTTCGACTGCATAGGCCCCAATGGGTAAGATATGCACAGATATATATGCTTTGCAAGGATTTATTCAACTATCACCCCCCCCCCCCGCCCATTTCACAAAAGGGGGATTCGTTTCTAGATACAAAATTCACATATGCTTAACCATTGAATTATTTCTTTATAGGGGTGGCAATTGGTTACTAGATACCCTAGGGGCGGGGGAATAGTTTGAGAGATCCACCTTGCAATAAGCGTAGAATCGAGATCACGCTTTTTTTCGCATAGAAATGCTTTAAAGAAAGAAGTTAGCATAACTTCTTTGGCCTGAAAACATCATCAACTTTTTTATTTGGTTCTCTTAAGAAAAATGGTTTACAAATGTATATTTAGTGCGCATTCAATGAGTATGTTGCTGTTTTGTTGGTTTGAATGAAAATTAAATATCAAAGCCATTCGGTTGAATTATTGTTTGTTCACATTTTACAGATAGATTTTTGTTGTTTTTATTGGCTTGATATTATGAAAAATGTTCTTTGGGCTCCAGTGAAGCGTTCAGTATCAAATGGCCTCGGCTACTAAAACAATCATCTGTGAATAATGAGTGAACAATTAAATAATTCAGCCTGAAACGGCTAAAACGCGTGTTATGGTTATCGTGTTTTAATCAGTGTATAAACTGGAGCCCTGCCCTGTACGTGATATTCAAAAGTAAATTTTTCATTGAGGATAGATCAGGAGAATCATTAGATTAGGAGTTCGAAAAGTCTTGTGCGCGATGAATTTTCAGCTTCAGCGATGTGTGCTCTTTTTTGCACGTTTTCAAATTTTGATTTCGTTCTGACACTTAAAACAGCTGATTCTCAATGGCGTTGAAAATGAATTTCAAAATTGAATTTGACTCTTTAAAGGGGAGGGGGGAGGGGTGGCGAATATTACATTTGCACTTTTAACAGGTGAATAGGGCAATTGATACGATGTAGTCTTAGACAAGAATGGTATCACACGCAGCGGTGACGACGTCTGTCAAGGAATAAAATTTATGGATCTACTTAACGATCTCCACCCCTTTCAAGAAAGGGGGGGATTGTTGAGTAGGTCAAAATGGTCGATTTTCAACCAATCAGAATGCAGCAAAATTATAATTCTCAACAGAAAGCTCAGTGCTAATTTACTGATTTTAATTATAGGGGTGGAGACTCTTAAGTGGGTACCATAGGGGGAGGGGGGAGATTGTTAAGTAGATCCAAATTTATTCATACTCTTTTCGAGTCACCGTGGTTCCAAATGTTTGATTGAATTTCAAATTTTTTTTAGCTTACTGAATGTTACAGAAAATCGTGATAGCGACAAGTTCGTGTGAAACTTATTAAATTAAGTTAAACAGACGGATCTGATTGCTTAGCCTCAATTTTAGCTGAAATTTGCATTTAACAATTTTGAAAAAATGAAATTGAATATTATATCAACTATACTGAATATACACCTGATTTTTCAGTAGCAAAAATCATTATCTTTTAAACTGTTAATTTCTGAAAAAAAAGCCAATTTTAAGCTAATTTATTGTTCCGACACAGAAGAGTGGACAGTAACTTTGTAATCGGGTCGTTTTTTACCAGTCAGTTTTGATTGCCTCGAAGAAATATCCTAGAATGGCAATTGTGGTAATATATTAATGTCCGTTTGGCCGTGATTTGGATTTTAAAAAGAAACTTTCTTAAAAGTTTTCTCAGTGTTGAGGAAAACTGGTCTCAATTTATCGTTTTTCAGTGTGAATTACCCGAAATTTGATGAGAGTTTTGAGAATAAAAGTGTTCACGTGGAACTTTCACTGTAGCATTGGAAGTTGCATAGCGTCTGTTCTCTGTTTTATTTTGAGGAGGCTAGTGCTTGGGGCTAATCTTCATTTTTTTAAATATTGGGAATTTCAGCATTTTTCTTCTACCAGTTTGTTCGCAGTATTTTGTGCTTCTTGCGCAGCAACCAGCTATCATTTTTTAAAATTAGTTTTTAGCTACAAGTTTTTTCTAAATTTTTTTTAAAATTAAAATTGACTTCACTTTATCAGCAACTCTTTCAAGCACAATTTTGAAAAACCTTTATTGGTTGAAGATCAGGGATGCTCGAAACTCAAAATTTTCAACCTAATCAGTCCAATAAAAACGAATTTATCTATTGTAATTTTCACAAACTGTGCATTAAAAACGTTTGCTAGGCTGGGCTCACGAGGACCGGGGTTAAGCAGACCATTTTCTTAGCATAAAAAGCTTTAAACATAATTGATTGAAAGACAAAAAGTATGCGTTGTTGTCAAATTGCTTTAATTCAGACCATTTTTACACGGTTTATCAGTGAAAATATATTTCAAATTAAATATAAGAATTACATATTGGTTACGTTTACTCAAGTTAAGATAGTTTTATTCTTAAGAGTAATGAACTTACTGAAGACTCTTATATAGGTCTTGCTGATTTTTTTTTTTTTCAGGAAAGTCTCGAAATATTGATGCACTTAGGTATAATGCACTTTTTGAGCTCAGTTGAAATTCATCCACCAAAAATGACGTGAAAAGCACTCTCCAAATACGAACGTGGAAATGGCGCGAAAAAACGTGATTGAATTCTAGTTTAGAAAGTGGAATTTATTTCTAAGATTAAAATTCAAAAGCTTCAGTTTCTGTAATTTTTTCTAAAAAAATGTTTTTGAGAGATTTTTAAGAAGTTTTTTACTTCATCCAGTACAAAAGAACCAAATGATTGTCACCAAAATTAGTCGTGATGAATTTTTGCAGAATACGCTCAAATTTGATTTTTTAAATTCAGTTCATTTCATTTGTTAAAAGGAAGGTAAGCTCCACTATCGAACAGCAAAAGTGTAAAGGCCACAAAAAAACGAATGTCTTCCAGTTTCAAAAATGGACTCCAATTTTTGAATTCCGAGCAGATTAAAAAAGTTGCCTATTGATGGAATTCTTGAAATTCAAAGAGCTTCAAGGTTCAATTTTTATCCTAATTCGAAAGTTAAAAAGGGTTCAACAATTTTCAATCAACGTTTTTTGCGGTTTTTTTTTCTAGATTTTTCCTTACACCTGTTGGCTATGCTCATTTTTCGTTTCTGTTGGCTGTGTTTTTATTTCATAAATTAAAGTACCAAAAGCGGTTTTGCAGATAGCTTTAACTTGCGTAGAGTAACCTAAGGCCTAAAACCTTATGATTAAAATCAATAAAAATGAAGCATTGCTCCTGGGGTATTTTCAGTGGCTTAGAACTGAAACATAATTAAAATAGCAAGCACCGACGAAACAGGAAAATAAATTGAAATAGGAAACTGGAATTCATTAAGACATTATTAACACAGATTTTCTTCGATTTAAACGTGCTTTGAAATCACTTGGCAGATTTGTTTAAAATAGTCATCAGACGTTTTCACTCTAAATTGCATTCATTAAATTATAAATGCTAATCTTTTTCGTTTATATTTCTCTATTTCATTTGTTAAATGCTAATTTGTTTTTGCTTTGAAAATTGTTTTTCTCCCTGAAGTGCTAATAGTAATGTGGATTGACAGCAACTTGGGAAGTTTTAAATTGAACTAATGAAGTTCTAAATTACGCGAGGTGTAATTAGTCTTCTTTTGTCAAAAGTGCTTAATGCCGAAATTTGCTCAGAGGCTGTCCTCCCTACTTTAATTCTTCTACTAGAATTTTAACGCCATGTTTTAACATTGCCGCTCTTTCGTCGTTTTTTTTTCACTTAATAGCATTTTCTAGTAAACAAATAGCAGGAAATTTCATAAATTTATTTTTTTTTCGATTTAAAAAAACTTATTTTTGGATTTTAAAAAAAAACAATTTGGTGGGAACCTTCTGTGCCACTTGCACAGCACGGCTATCCTTGTTACATTTTGCAATTGCTGATTAAATTTCATAAAATTCAGATGTACTTAGTTCTAAAGACTAGAATATGTACTAAGCCATAATATCCAATGTGACAGAAGTGAATTTTACGAGTGGTAGAAAAACTATCTTAGCATAAATGTACAGAAATATTTATTTTAAATTAATTAAACCCGAGCGATTAACCCAGAATTAAAATCTGGCGACTTAATTTTCATTTTATTTTTTGTTTGCAATTGCTATCCAACATTAGTAGCTGTATTATCAGAGGACTGTTGAACGGCTTATATGTGATTCTAAGTCTCGACGTTTTCCTGTTTGAAGTTGGATGATTGATCTCTTTATCAATCTGACTTTTAAGACATAACCTAATAATGACAGAATACAAGACATAAAGAAAACTAACAAGACAGAATACACGACATAAAGAAAAGTATTGAGTGATTGATGGATTGGCTTGATGCTTGAGTGATTTATGGTTGATTAATTTGTCATTTGAGCTCGAAATTTTTGTCACAACGTTATGGTGATGATTGAACTGTTAATGGTCACTTCTTAATGCAGCACATCAAAAAGTAGCAACTAGAACGATAACATGCTGTAAACTAGTTTTTGTTCGTGTTTGTTTTTCTTTGGTTCAACTCCAAAATTAATTAATATATTAGTTGTGTTCATGCAATTTGCTGTTTTTTTTTGTTCTGGTCAAGTTGTTTTTCCGTTTGAAAATACAGGAAAAAGTTAAGCTTTCCATAAATACGCTTCTGTACTAAATTGTGAATGGCGGTCAACTAAAAGTGTAGCTATTTGGTCTGACGTTTCGTATTTGAGAATTTTGATAAACAAGTATATCGAACTTGTGTGAACATTTTTCAAGCTTAAAATATCATATATAGTCTAAATTGAATGGTTATTGTTCTGACCTTCGAAGAAATTAATGGAATCTATTCTCTCTGCTTAGATGCAAGCCAGTTTGGTTCTTCGAAGGTGGTCGCATCAAACAAGAGGCTTCCTACCATCTCAAAATTCACAGACCGGACATCTCTCGTCAGGGCAGCTACTCGTGTGGGTGCATCTCGGAAACAGAAGTCACACACTCGGAATCACCACAAGAACTGCCTCAGTCCATTAGGGCAGCTAGACTGAAAGTGTTACGTAAGCTCAAGATTATTATAGTTTCTACCTGGTCTATAAAAAGAAATTAAGGTTGATGGATTTTAATAAAAGGTCATAATTAATTTGTGGATTTGTTCACGAAATAGTGAACAAACCTGTTATTATGAGTCGATATACTTGATTCAGACTCCTATAAAGGTCGCGATGATCTTTTATTGTTTTTTTTTCAGGAACAATTACAATTTGGTCAGGCTCTAATTTACTTTATTGCGGTTTGATTTTTGATATCTTTAGGCTTGCGATGAGCAAGCGTTATCAAACTGGAATATGGACTTTTTTCGGGTTAACAACTAGTTTAACGTAATCAGTTGAATAACTTTTTTTCACTTCCCTTCTTATCTTCTCTTCACATCTCTTGTTATCTTCTCCTAACATGTTGGACGTTGCTTTCCCCTTGGCCTAGAGGTAAACAGTAGCCTTTGTACCTTAAGGTCTGGGGTTCGAGTCGTGGCCGGATCTTGTTTTTTTTTTCAGTATCAAGGAAATTTAAAAAAAAATCGAGAAAAATGAATTAATGGTTTTTTGTTTGTTCGCTCAGGTTTTGTCGGTTAAACTGCCATAAAGGATTTTGTTGCTGTAGACATTTTTCCTTGTAGTTGCAAATGCAAATGTTGTTCATTCTAATTTCAAGGGGGACTGGAAAGATAATAAAAAAATCGATTTTTTTTTCGGTTCAAGTGGCTTCAGCTGAAAGATGGCCGGCTAGTTGCCACATCAGTAAATTTTTTTTCTGTGAGAAACTTTCATTGTAGTTTCAACTGCAAGTGCTGTTCATTCCAGCCTCAAGGGTACTTGAAAGATTAAATAAAAAACATTTTTTTTCCGGTTCAAGTGGTTTTAGCTGAAAGATTGTTGGCATAGTTGCCACATCACTGATTTTTCTTGTGCTGTAAACGACTTTTATTGTAGTTGCAAGTGCAATTGTTGTCCTAGTTTTTTTCGAACCTTTTCATTTTCGGCTTTTTATGCTTTTATGCTAGTTTTATTAAAAGGAAGGCAAATCTAGTATCAAACAGCAAACGTTTAAATTCACGAAAAACGTGATCAACTGCTAGGTTCGAAAGTGGAATTTAATTTTTAGATTTCCCAGCAGAATAAAAAGTTTACCTGTTGATCTAGTTTTCTGAAAATGGGTCAATTTCATCAAAAAAATGTCAATCTTAAATTCAAAGAGCTTAAAGGCCATCAATTTTTTCGCGGAAGTTCAAAAAATTTTTTTCTAAATTTGTAGATTTTTTTCAAAAAAATAAACGTCAGTCTTTTTTTCTGTTTAATTGCGTTCTTTGACTTTTTTCCCAACTGTTCAAAACTTCCACAAATTTCGATTTCTCGAAACCTAGAAGGTTAATTAGAACCTGATTTTTCTTTGGCTTTCAATTGCTTTCTGGCCAAAAGACTTTTTGGTGCTATAGAATTTCTAAAATTTAATACATTGGTTATTCTATTTTTGACCTCTGAATTCATTAGGTGGAAAACAATAAAATATATTCCAATTCAGAAAAAAAGTTACCACTTGCGGAAATAATGGCATGTGAAAATGTATTATCTCTTCAGTTTCATAGGTTAATTGGAACTATTCCTAGTGAATGGCCTAATTTCTCTTGATCGACGTCTCAAATTATAAGCGAATGTCCTATCTGGTCTCAATTTTGAATCATGGATGACACTTGGGTGCTTTTAGTCTAATTGGGATAGACAATAGCGATGACTCTCCAGTTTAGATAACTCTTTCTATGGTTATATGGGGAGTGGAATGATGACTAAAATAGTATCGCTACGCCCCCACCGCGCCGTCTATGTTTGATGAGTGAACTTGGCTCATGTCCTTTCGCACCCGATCACGCGCTTAGCATGCTCAAAGTTTCGAGTAATTATGGGTTTTCTAACATACTCCAGTTCATTTTGAGGTGTGTTAGGTTTAAGTTGTCCGTGGCTAATTGTATGAAACGTTTCAAATCGTGTTCGCTTAACTTTTAGATAAGAATTTTGATTATGCTAAGCGAGTGGTATGCTAATTGGTCTGTCCCCGACTGTGCCATTGTGTGGTACCGAGATAGTATCGAGTAGTTGAGTGAAAACTCAGTGGGGACACCTTCAAAAATATCCGCCTCATTTAGACGAAGACTGATCAGATGATGAGATGAATTCATTGCGGAGATAAAATTCATGTGCTTGCTTTTTTCTATATCCAGTTGTTTCCAGTTATTATTTCTTAGTTGTTTTGTGTGACTCTTTATTTTATGATTTTGAAACATGATTTCAAATGATATGATCCATGACAAACGAACAGGCAGAACTGTCTTTAGCTCAGGTCAATCTTTTATCTGTACCTAACGGATTTGGAACAGGGAGATATTTGAGCGATTTGAGGGTTCCTTCAAAAGTTTATTGCTGAAAAATGGGAACACATTCATTTTGAGTGAGCTTCCGACCAATCTGGTTGGTGCAACCATTTGTTAATAAACAAGTGTTGTTAATTTCCCATTAGCATGTGGTGCGTATGGAATAGAACACTGAACACATGTTTGTTTATTTGTCACGAGAGATTAGTTTGCTTATCTTCAGGCTAGGGAGGGAAGTAAACAAGAGCGGTGTATTGGGAATTAGTGCGATTAGATTGCGGTGGAAATTGAAGTTTAGTGGAGCGATTGACGTTCGATTTAAACTTATTTTTTTTCTACTAGTACTATGCTATTGATTGCATTTTGTGACTTTGATTGTGACTGTAACAAAAAGAAGAGATTCGACTTGCTTCAGTTAAATGAGTTAAGCGATGAGTGATAGTATTGTTTGTAGCATATGTTGGATGAGCAAGTAGGAAGTTGGTCACGCTGTGTTGACTTTGGGGGTGTGGTATCAGCAGGAATTTTTTGCAATCAAGATTCACAGTGTGATTGAGTGACTTTTGACGTTTTGATGTTCTATCATAGCGTGAATCCGTCTGAGCAAAAATGGTTTTGTTGTTGCTAGATGCAGAATAAATGATATGGTGTTAGTTTTCGAGCGAAGATAGCCGATGGCTTCACGTGTTTTCAAGATACAACGCTCGCAATCATTTGGTATTCGCTCTATAAGCATAGCTAAACATGTGATTAACTGAGTCAGACTGTCTGAGTATAATATACATTAACCTCATGTTTTGCTCTAAAAAGCTTTTGCTTGGATTTTGATTCATGATACTATGAATACCAAATTAATTCTGTCTGATGGATTTTTACGCGCGCGCAATTGGCTCTTTAAAATGAGGTCTATATTTTGTCTTCCGATGTTTGTTTTCAATTGTCTTGAGATGAGATGCTCAGAGAATCAGTTCTATAATTTTTGAGTAATTCATGTATTTTTTTCCTGGTTAATTGGTAAGTGAAATTTCGACTTTGCGTAAATCTCTTTCATTTCTTTTGGCGAATATGCAAAAATATTTTAGGCAAATCAAATTGCAAAATGCGTTTCTAAAGCATCATCGGTGTCATCCTTTATTGTTCTCGAAGAAAGTGAGGAATATATATGCCTGGGGTGTTTTTTATGCAGCCTGTTTTAGAAAAGTTGATAGCGTATGGGTTTCGATCCGAAAACCTTCGAATTGCCAAGCGAGTATGCTTATTTTCTTTTATTTCAGCATTGGTTGTGGACTATGGACTGAACCAGAGAAGTTTCAAAGTGAGAGTATTTGACAAACTAGAAGTGCCTTGCACTCTACAACTGCCCAGTGCACTTGGCCGAGAGAGTGATCAGCAGACAGACGTGAACCAGTTCTACTCTTTCGGATGGTACCACAACGGGTACAAATTCAAACGGGTAAGTTGATCATACCATATAATCACGTAGATAAAATCGAGCTTTTAGGTAATTTATTTTTTCTTGATGTTTTTTATTGTTTGATGTGTCAATTGATTTTTTGCTGGCACGCAGTTTTTAGCTCGAGACTTGTGTTTTGATTGACAACTTTTTCCTTTATTACAAACGAAGTTAATCGAAAAAAAAAGTGCTGAATACCCAAGATATCAGAGGGTCCTTTAAGTTGATTTTGAATAGTTTTACTCAATTGCGGGGCAGCGGTGATGTAAAAATGGTGAAGCATCTGTATATAACAAACCATTTTTAATATTGTGTTCTTTTTGCTTAAGTTTTTCTAGCCATCAATCATTTCACACAAGAGTAGTAAATTAACAACGTGTTATAATTTATTGACATTTTTAGCCAGCGAGTGATAATGAAACTAATTCCACGGTGAGTGTTCTTCATTCAAAAAGCCCACAAAAATCGACCATTTCTTGTCTTTCTGTCGAGAATTCTTGCACGTGTTTTGTCTATTTGGTTGTTTGTTCTGTTTTCATCCTATGCTAACATTTCAAACGAGCTGAGTGAGCAGTTTCTCAGCCCAACACTTCATATTTCAATTTCGGAACAACTCGGAAAGGATCTTTTCAGAAAAGAGTTAGATTTGAGCCTTTCGCTATTTGTGTTTTCTAAATAAAAAACCACATGTGTGAATGATCCAGCCGAAGCTTCAAGAATCCTAAGTGATGCAAGAATAGCCGTTTGCTGTGATAGTTTGACTTTTTCCATCGTAGCTCGCAAATAAAAGTGCTCATTTGGTGGCTTTTTTGCCACAATCACGATTTGTAGCATTTGAAATTTGCTCTCTGCTTTACGTGCGGCTAGTGTTAGTTGAACAGTAAGCGTCCGTGGCTGAGAGGGCAGGGCGTCAGACTCCAAATATCGAGGTCGCAGGTTCGAATCTCATGATATGTAGGAAATTTTAACTAATTCGGGGCTTTTTTCTACTTTTTTATATTTCACCTTATAAACTGTTCTTCGCGCTAGTGATTGCGAAGCGCAGCTTCCCCTAGTATTATAATTAAAAATTTCTCAGCGGAATAATAACGTTCTAAGATTTTCCAGCTGAGGTCAATTTTTTGTTTTCTTGAGTTCATAGACTTTTTCAAGAACTTTTTTGTTTTCATCGACTTTCATTTTTTTGCATTCATAGTTTTTCAAGAGTGTTTTAAGGCATATTTTTACCTTGCTTTTTTTTCTGGTTCATACTTCAACATTTCGTTTATACATTTCTTGTGGTTTATACTTTGACTCGTTTCAATACCGCTCAAGGTTGAATTATTTTTATCTTGATCATAATTTGATTTCGTTGCTGGTCATTTTAAAAAGTTCTTTTTTTGCAACAAGCTTAATTTAACATCTTGATTCTTGTGTATAAATAAGCTAATTTGTAAAAGTAATTCAAAAAGTTTGAAATTTCTCAAGCGAATAAAAATTTTTCTTTTATTTTTTTTTCAACTAAGCTTGCAAGCGTAGTGTTAACTTGGGTGTAGGTAAATGTATTTTTTTCTGACGCTCAGTTAATCGATAAATCGTTTTTTTTGTTGGATGTTTTTGAAACTCCTTCGAAAATAGCGACACACTGATTTTTCGTTAACTAATTTTTTTTAGCGCTGCGCATTAATCGAAATTCCGATGCGTTGAAATAATCGTTCAAAATTGAATTAAAACATGCTAGTTTTTCGCAGTAATTCTTTTTTAGGTTCAGTAATTTCATTTTTAAGTGTCAATGAACGAATTGAAGACATTTATTGTGGTAGTTCAGCTTTTTTCAATGGAAAGGTCTTAGAAACTCCTCAGGCTTAAGTTTTAAAAAAAATCATTCCACTTTTAAAAAAATTACTCTCTCCAATCCGAAAACTTCTCAATCTTAATGAAACTTTTTTAGAGTTTAGTTTTTTAATTTTTAGATTTGTTAGCGTTATTAGATTTGTGAGTGTTAGTGTTACTTTTTTAAAAAGTTTTAATTCTGAAATATTGTCGAATTTGAAATGCTTAGTAGGCCATATGTGATTTTCCTTCATTTCATTCGTCTGCTTTCATTTCCTTAACACTTTTCTTGCTGTGTCTTACCAACTTTTCGTTACTTGTTCCAATTTGTGAAGAAGGATGAAATATTCGTGCTTGAACGTGGGTTTTTCTTCAGTTCATTTGCGACTTTTCAACGAACGAAAGTTTTTCCAACCATCTTAAACAGATTGTTGCCCTAAGCTCAAATTTGAAAATATTTTCAATTGCCTATTGTTTGTTAAGTTATGGGGGTTCGAAGTTAGCAAATTTGGGCAAATATCTCGCGCGTTTTTTCCAATTTTCTTTACCTTGTCGTTTAGGCAGTAATTTAAGACGCATCGAAAATAATTCCAGATTAGATTAAGGCCAGCTAATTAATACGTTATGAGGAGACAAAGTTGTGTGCGGGCGAAATTTTCCTAACACAAAATTGGAATTTTTAGCATTTTTTTACTTAGCAGTCAGTACATACAGGGTTTCGCACTTATGCAAGCAATCATGTAGCTTTCAGTTGATTTGTTTGTATTTTTAAAGTTTTTTTGTTAACCTATTTTGGTATTAGAGCTTTTTTTGCCGTCTCTTTCTTGCACTACCTAACCATTTAATCAAATTATATTTTGATTGAAAATTCAAAGCTACCTCTCTAATTGCACCGCTTAGTTGAGACTGACAAGCAATAAGACTACTAACACTGTCGGATTAACATCACTGATGCATATAAAGTACGCATGCATCCATTGATGCCATAGCTGTCTCTGCTTCGCCTTGCGCGTCACTTTCTCACGACTGTTAAGAATGTGTTGCGTCAGTTGGCGTTACAGGAGATGAATGTGTGACCAAGAAATTAAAGCTGGGTTCCATCGATGTGTGTAGTGCCCCAAGAAGTTAAAATATTTTATGATCAGATCGGATTAGGAGCTTGGCGATGGGGTTGTGGGGGGGGGGGGGGTTGGGATTTCGGGGTCAGGGTTGGGGAAACCCGCCCACTTTTCATTTTGGTTGGGTGGCCAAATTTTTACGAAGGGACTCGCGTTTGGTAAATATTAACCCCAATCATTTTTGGCTGATAATAAACCCTAAAAATTTGCAAAAGGTCCTCTTATCGATAATACAAATTTGAGGGAGGAGTGTGCGCCTAAATACGTGAATTTTTTGTCACAATCTTTCAAAAAAGGCTCAAAAACAGCATTTTTATTAACTCTGGCTTATTTTTTTTTGCAAATTTATGTCTTTCATGGTTTTGTCAAAACGTCTGGCTTAAAAAATCAAGGTGTGCAAAATGTACATCACCTATCGAAAAATTTCAGCGCACGTCCTTGGAAGAGTAAAGGAAACTTTAAGTAAAGGAAACAGATTGTTCCTTAGGTTTATACTCTCTATGCTGAACCACTGCACGACACATATCATTAAGGATACACAAGGGTGAGTCGCAGTCTCAATCTAAATGGAACAAATAAGTGAAACACTGAAAATGTCTAAGCGAGATTAACGGTTGTCAGTGGTACTATAAAGTAGTTAATTCTTCGAGCCTTGCTTAGATGTTGGAAATGAGAGTGGACGACAAATCAGGTGGACTTGTAGTGACTCCTCACTCGCGCAACAACAGGACGGGAGGCATCTTCCATTGCTACGCAGAGCCCAAACAGACATACCCCACTCTACCCATTGTGGTATCCGCTCCGGTTCTCATCCAGATTCAGTGTAAGTATTGCAGTTGATCTATATTGTTTACTGTTTCCCCCTTGGTTAGACTTGCGAAGCAAAGTGTATTAGTATGAACGTTCTTTTTTTCCAACCTAAGTCGCAAATAAAATTGCTACTTTTGGTGGTACTTTTAAACCGGTAGGCTGCGGTAGCAGTTTAATATCATATGTGCTTTGAAATTTGATAAGTAAAAACTTAATACGGCTGATGAATTTTTTACACAAGCGAAGCTGGTATTATAGTATGAACTCTCTTTTTTTTCCAGCCTAAGTCGCAAATTTTGTAGCGACGAAATAAGTTCATTTTGAAAATGTTCATTTTGATCAATAACCAGCTATTAAGTACAGCCAATGCTTAGGATTTTAACACAGACTATTATATTACAAATAGAACTTAAGCTTCAAGGTATCATGGAACTAAAGCGTAGAGGTAGGAAAGGAGACTCGCAACAAAATAAGAGGGTTCGAACCTGGGCAGGGTCGGATGTTTTTCATGAACTTTTTCGTATAGTAGTTAAAATGCGTCCGCTCTATAAAACGAGGCATGTTAGTTGGTAATTTTTTATGCATATCTGTTGACTGCAAGTTGACTCATATGCAAGTTGACTGGTACTGCTAACGCGTTGTAATTGGCTTGCGTCACTTAGCAAATATGTAGACTCATAATTGGCTTGCGTCACTTGAGAAATTTTGTAGACTCAAAGTTTTACTCATTTCGTTTTTCCCAAGCGTTATCGGTCATATTTTTGCTTGTGTATGCGAAGTGCAACTTCGCCTGTGTGTAAATCATCGAATGAAGCGAAAAAAGTTATTTGTTTCAAATAGCAGTGCATTGATAAACAGCTCAATTTCATAAATTTTGCAACTCGTGTATCTCGCAATTTTTCTGATATGCATAATTTATACATAATTTGTTTTTGTTTCCAATTTAATACATGCAAAATTGTGTCTTTTCGTATTTGGTGGTACTTTGCTGCATCGAATTGGCAATTTATTAACATATGTAGCTGCGTTATTGGTGACTAGTTTTTGAGGATTTTAAGCATCCGTGGCTGAGTGGTTATTGCGTGAGGCTCAATTTTTGCTTGGTCTTAGATTCGAATCCGACACGTAGCCGAGTTTTTGCTAATTGGAGGCTTATTTCTACTTTTGATTTCACTTGATAGAGCTGCTTTTTGGTCGTGTTCTCGCAAGTATTTGCGAAGCGCAGCTTTGCCTCTGTGTTAATAATGCCTCGATTCCTTTGCATGACTCCATTGTTATCAAAATTTTATATATCTTTTTCTGATTCTTTTTTAAACCATCAAACTATTGAAGTCAAATTTGAACTTCCGTAAACCGAATTGCTATTTTGTCTAGAACAGGTGAAAGACCGTAATTGTTTGTTATTACACAGGCCAGCTAAAGAGCGTAGCTTTATTTTGCGAATAAACATCTTTTTCTTACCCACTTCGCAAATAAATGTGCAGATTTAAGGCTCTTTTGCTGCAAAGCGTTGGCTATTGTATAGCATCTGTTCAATCTGCTTCATTGGTGGATAGTTTTTACCTATTTTCAAGCGACCATGATGGAGATGCGATAACTAAAAAGATAGTTAAATTAAATTTGTGTTTACGAATTACTGCTTCGCCTTTGTTTAAGTTTCACATTAGAATGAAAAAATCGATCCATTCCTATCGATCAAGTTTTATAAAATTGGGTTTGTGTTATCCAAAAAGTGTCAATTATAAGAAATTCTCTAAGGTGATTAAATGTTTTCTATGAAAAGCGAACGCTGAAAAAAGAAATCTGTTTCCTATATCTTTCATTTCTCTGGGCAAGCTTTTTTGGTATAAACTACCAAAAAACATTTTATTCTACGGTCATTAGTCCTTACAAAGGGACTTCACAAAGCTTGAATAGAATTTGTTAGCACTCTTAAACTGGGTTCATTTTTCATATACTCTGAATCGCGACTAATATAGATCGAATCTGATGACTCAATCAGCCCCATCTGAAGTTAACTTGTGATCAGGGGCGGATCTAGGATTTTCTTGAGGGAGAGGTGGATTGATTTTTCAAGCTCTCACAAAGCACTAAAAAGTCCCTGTTCTGGCCAAATTTTCTGCGCCGCAAGGAAAATTTTGAAAAAACAGGCAAAAAAGGCGTTTTTGGCATTTTCTGGAAAATTTTGACCCAAAATTGCCTTTTTTTTCGGCGCCCCCCCCCCTTTACATATATTGGCGCCAATTGCGCCTTTAATCATTTTTTAGGGTCCGTCACCAAAAATGGATATTTCAAAATAGTACAAAGGTCGACAGGGGGTCGAATCTGTGAAGAAGGGGGAAGCATCCGCCACACCCCCCCCCCCCAAATCCGCCCCTGCGTGTGATGCCTAAAATTTTGAATGGGTTGCGCTACGTTCAAATAAGCACATCTTATTTTGCACAAACTGACGCTTTTATAAAAAGTTTTTAGGGCTTTTTGAAATTGATTTCTAGTTAAGTGAAAATGGATTAGCATTGAGCTGACGAATCCAATTTTAGGTTGATTCGCGACACTCTCTAGCTTGTTAATAGACAGACAATTATGGAAAAATATAACGCCGTACTACTTTTAGAAGGGAACTCATTTTTATTGCTGTAGGCCTAAACTGGACGGAATATAAAGTGTGAATTGTTTTTTGTTTTCAATTACACCAAATTTAACTTGACACTTTCGTTATTGGACTGACATCCTCAATTGGGCCATCAATCTCACTCCATTGAGTGAAAAGTTCTATTTTTATTGTTGTGTAGAAAGCTTCTTTATTTGCTGAAAATCAGCTCTGACAAGAAGTGGCTGTGCTTAGCTCCTCGAATTCGATGTTGGCTGCGCGAATTGAGCACTTGCGCAATTTGTCTTCGCTTCTATGTAGATTGTAGATTTTGTTTTTCAGATTTTTTTTTTCAATTTCAGTCATAAATCCTAGCAGAACGTTTGACCGCAAAAACGAAAAGATGCTGAAATGATAATATTTAGTTTTTTTTTTGAAAATAAGTCTTCTGTTGGAGATATAAATTAAAATAATAAAAAGGAACAATTGTTTGGCTACATCTACCCCCTAAATGATCGGTTCCATTCGCTAAAATCGACCCCTTAAAAACTCCAAAATTTGCTACGATAGAATCTTCGGAATAATGTATGACAACGCAGACATGCATCGATGCGAACAGAAGACCCCAAAAATTACCAGAATTTTTTAAAATTAACCAGCCAGAGGCCTAGCCCGAAGTTAATTATTCAAGGGTAACTAAGCTATGGCTATCTTACGAGAGCTCACCTTGTGAGTTGCAGCTCACGTGCGATTTGAACCCGCAATCATATGATAACGCCATTCTCTATCGTTTCAGATGAAGAAACAGAGGTGCGTTTGTTGGTTGATGAAAAATTCAGTCCAGTAATTGAAGGTCACCTAGTCGAACTTAACTGCACTGTCACTGGAGGCTCTCTCAAGAAATCAGTCACGTGGTATCTGGACGACCAGCTAATCGAGAACATTCCAGAACATTCTACGACAAAGATCTCGGAAAATGATGAAAAGTAAGTTCAAATTTGATTCAATTGGACGGAAAATTAAGTATGAGAAGCTTTAACTGGGTGCTAATGAAATATTGCATGATTTTTTTTACCTTACTGCTGCGAAAAGCTGGCGGATTTTTGTGCCAAGAAATTAATTTGAAAAATTTTCACCCAAGTAAATGTTGAAAATCACATTATGTTCCAACAGCCAAGTGGGTATCAATAGCTAATAAATGACCGGAGATAATTGATTATTTTGTAAATATTCTGAATTTTACAATGAATTGAATCTACAAGGGCAAACAACTTGTTTTGGTTATATTAAAAATTTCTCTTTTTTTACACCAAAAGATAGTAGTAGGATCTTTGAATCTGTGTCTTACCAAGATACGTGTGTTTTTGACATAGAAATAAGTTTTTGCGGGCATCAGCTTCAGACATATCATGAGAAATTGTGTGTACGTGTTTGCTCAGATTCACCTGTGTTGTTGTGTTTACTTGTGATAGATTGGAGTTTGTGTTGGTGTTGCGGGAAGTGAGAGTGAAGCAGGCGGGACTGTACAAGTGTGTGGCGGAGGAGGAGTTGGATGTGATGAGGACGAAGAAGACAACTGAGAGCAACCAACTGCAGCTCAAAGTGCTCCGTAAGTCACCCACAACTACATACAGAATATCTCGAGTGCTTCACAGGTTCACCACTTTATCTTTAGAATGGTCTAAAAAGTCACTTTTTGGCCTATGTTCAGGGGCGGATCAAGGATGTTTTCGAAGGAGGGGGGGGGGGGGGATATTTTTTAAAAATTTACGAATATCTTAATATACTGGTCTAAAAAAAATCACTTTTTGGTCTATGTTATTATACTGGTCTATAAAAATCAATTTTTGGTTTATTTTTTTGAAAAGCATTTAATTTTTGTAGAGCTAAGTTAATCTAATCAACTAAAAGTTTATGAATTATAGTTTTTTTTCTCAATGCTTGAGGCAGGATTTTTGTTGTACATAAAACTTTTAGAATTCAAAATCACGCATAAAAAATCCTCCCAGCTCGACATTCAAAAGGGGGAATTCGTAACTAGGTTAAATGTTTAATTATGCTCAAAAGTTGATTAAGTTCTTCGTAGGGCCAAGAACTAGTCTAAGAGTAAGAGACCTGAATTACAAACTACTAAATGCCCCATGAAAAAAGTTTCTAATATTTCGTTTAAACTAAGTGCAACTAAACTCGAGTTAGCTTTAAAATTTCATCCAGGTTCGAAGTTTGAGCCCATCGCACACATTCAACAAGTTTTATTACTTTTGAGCTGAATTTCAGTCTGAGTTGTGACTTATTTTGGTCTGCTAGCTCCAGATATCAGTTCAAATATAGCCCATATCAACTTAAATCAGACCGATTTAGTCTCTTTTGTGCAGAAAGGTTGGCATATTTGTGTGTTCAGTATGGGATCTTTGAAATTGCAGACCTGATAAAATATTTTGAAACGAGACCAATTTGGCGCCAGAATGTTTAATGTTGATATGCAATTTGAGATCCATTATAAATTATAGCCGTTTGACGATAACTTCAAATGGCTATTAAAGCAACAGCTCAAGTCAAGATATTTCTTGTGAACTATAATTTCATGCATAATTGATCTTTTTTTGACAATTTCGGGTCTTTTTAGCTGAATTTAATATTTTTGGAGTTCATTCTGAACGAAAATGACGATTGACTGAGGCATAATTTTTGTTGATCAACATTTTTTTTTGCTTTTTAGTGGAAAAATGAAATGATTGATATTCGCAATGATGTCATATGCTGGCTAAGCGTACAAACTTAGTTCTACCATAATATGATTCAATTGAACAACGCACTCTCTCATTATCCTCATTGAGGAGCATTTACCAATTGGTCTCTTGTTAGGGCCAGCATACATGCGAGCTTTTTTCAGCTCTTCACGTAGAACTGCTGTTGTTCCTGTTTGTTTGTCTTTTACTTTCATTTTTTGGGGCTGGGTTTTTTTTGGCCTTCAAGCGACGAGAACAGGTTTTTTCATGTTATATAAGTGACTTATTGTCTGATTGAGAAGTTGTGTCCCAGGTGTTGAGGAGGAGATTCCAATTTCCTGTCTTACCCTTTAGGGACAAGTGGTGTAGCTCCTTTATTTGCAGTTCTGTCAAGTGATGGCAGATATCCTCCCATTCCACTGTGAAGAAGAAAGTCTCAAAATTAATCTTATCTGAATACATAAATTTGAGAATTCGAAATTATGCAGAAAAAGTATATCCCTAATTTTCGTTGATAAAAGTGAAATCGAATGATTAAATTCAGCTGGGTTTCGTGGATTTTGATTTATTTAGAACAGACCGTAAATTGACTTCATTAAAACTTAGGTGTTCAGAAAGTAAGAATTTTTGACCTAATTAGATATCAATGAACGAAGTTAAGACAATAATGATGTGAAGACAATATAACGAAATGATTTTTTTTAATGGAAAAAGCCTTCAAAGTTGTCCACACTCAATTTTGATCTTTCTTGGATTATCTTTTGATTTCTTTGTAAGCTCAATTCAAATTCATTTGATAAAAGGAAAGCAAATTACGCTCTCCAATTGTGAAGGTGCAAATGATTAGAAGCAGTGTTTTGTACTTTACACGATGTACTAAACATACTATGAGTAAAACCCTTATACGATGTAACTTGCACGAGAGGCGTTAATTGTTAACTTCGCAAACTTAACGATCAATCATTAACCTTGCGATAAGCAAGGGTGTTGCAATCGTGTACTACTTTTTCCCCGAGTTACCGTTGATCGCAGGATCTCCAATTTTATTTGATCTTCCCATCTTTTTTTTTGAGATTCCGTTAACTAACAGACTTATTTTGAGCATGTCTGCGTTTAAATACCCGTTATATTCGAAAGTTTTCACATGTTCAATGTAATTTTACCTTGACCGATTTGTTGAACTTGTTTTTTTTTACTTAATCGGCTTTAGGCCTACATTAAGTTGACTTTGTTGGCTCCTTGCGTCGTATGAGCGAATAATTTTAAGTGTGTGTATGTGTTTTTTGAGGGAAAAGGACTTGAAGTTTTTTTTAGTTCAAATTGTTCCTAAAATAGTTTTTTTTCGGCTCAACGGGTGTCTGTTAGAGTTTTGTCAGCTTCATGACCGCTGTTTTACTTTTGCAAGCTTTAGCGAGCGTAGTGTCATAGTACGACTATTTTTTTCCAACCTAAGTAGTAAATATTGGTATCACCAAAGTGGCACATTTACGGCCTTTTGGTAGCATGTGATTTGACATTCGATAGCAAAAAGTTGACACAGTTGATGCCTTTTTGGTTCATCAAACGAAGGAGAAAAGTTTTATGTTTCAAAGCACAGCAATAAAAAATTCGATTTCAGAAATTTTACTTATCAATTAATTTAGCATTTTTTAAAACATGATTTATTCATAGTTTGGCTCCATGCTCAATATATTTCATGCAAAGTTGGTGTGGACGACTTTAGTTCAATTTATTTCAAATTATTACTTGCAAAATTTATTAGCATATGTAGCTGCTTTATTTGTGGCTAGTGTTAGTAAATTGCCAAGGGATTGTGGCAGATGCGAGGACAGGAGACTCAAAATCTTGTGGTCGTAGAATCGAATTCGCCTCTGTGTAAATCTTTGTTGCGATGCTTATTTATCATTCAATTGTCCCATTTGATCTGTTTTTCTGAAAAGGGTTTTTTCCATGACAAATCGCGACTAAGCATAAAAGTTATGATAATCTAGTTTTGTTTTCGACAACGGTTTTCGTTTCATGTTTGTCCACTAATTTCTCTTTTCATACTATGTTTTGTATCGCAAGTGGTGCGAAGCTGTGCTTCGCTTTTGTGTATGATAATACAAAATCAATAATTGGCAGATTTTTTTTGCGAGGCCAGCAATTTTTCATTGAGTACTGCAGGTTGATTGATAATCGGGGCGTGTGCAAAAAAAAATAATCGAGCAGCAAAAAATATATTAGACATTTTTCCATATGCTGAAATTGAGTTCAATGTAATTTTTCTAACTCTATGCCACTGGCTAGGTTAGAGTTTTGTCGTTACTTGCCATATCCAGCTCACAAATTCTTCTGTTGGTTTTATGCTTTGGAGCGTGAATTAGTGGCGATAGATTAATCTAATTAACACAAACTTTTTGATTTGTTTCAGACAGAACAGCTCTGATCGAGGGAGTGCACAACTCGTGGGCGCCTCGACTCAGTTCGGCCGAGATGCACTGTCTGTTCCGAGTGGACTCAACTCTACTACATATGACGTCATCAGACGAAATAGAAGAAGCAGAGGCCTACTCCGGGGAGTCGGAACTTGAGAAAGAGGAGCGAAGACCTCTTTTCCGAATCCTGTGGAAGTTCTGGCCCTCTTCAGCTGAGAGGGAGTTGGAGGAACCTGTTGTGTATGAAGAGAACAGCTGGGAAGACCAATATGTTCAAGTGTGAGTTGATTCAGTTATTGCCATTATTAATCAGATCTCTTTTAACTATTTCCCCCCACTATGCGAAAGAATTTTCACTCCTATAGAAAATCAAATCTTTGTATAAGCATATGTATGCATTTTGTACCTAGTTGCGAATCCCCTTCTCCCCTTTGCAATACGGGGCTATAGTTAAAGAGATCCTATAAGTGTTATAAATGTTAGTTAACTGTCTAGATAAAGGTTAAATGTTGAAGTGCATAGTTGGCTAATTCGCAGTCTTGATGAGAACAGTCGCTGAAAAAATCTTGAAAAGAAAGTGTGACAAAGAATCAATTGATTACATAAAATATGCCAACCCAATAGATTCAGTTGAATTTGAATTAAATTTTATTTTGTGTGATCAATTACAGTAAATGTTTTTCATGCTCCTTTTTGTCAAATCGATTTCTGTTTAATAATGCACCCTCCCACCGTTCATTTTAGTTGTAGCCCACAAAATTTTGCTTCAAAATCTAACAAATTCGATAACTTTTTGTCATTGAAATTGTTGGATTGAAATGGGACTTCAGGGAAAATGAAGTTATCTTCATTTGATCATTTCTTCGTTTGAGCTGTTGTGTCTCCTGTTTTTTCCCTTGTATGTTTCAATGGAAAGCCTCTTTTGTGTCTTCACTTATCGGTTTAGATTGTGTTGTCTTCCTTGTTCTCGGATTAATCGATCTAAATTCAATTAGAAGTCGCATCTTCTCTTTAAACTTATTCGAAGCGGTGCGAAAGAACGCAATTTTTTTTATTGTGTGACTAAATTGAAGTCAAGTAGACTCACCATTGTTTTGGCTAATCGTTACGCAATTTACTTTTTTTCGTACATGCATTTTCAATCATTAAGTGACGTGTCATGTACGTAGCAGTTGATGGCTCGACATTTAATCGGTAGCTAGGTTAGATTAGTCCGTGTTTGGACCATGTGGACAATTTCGGCCCACATGAACAATCTACACCCAAAATAGACCAATTGAACAATTTCCTAGAAGTGGATTTGGGGGGATTCAAAGATTCGACCACCTGACTACCCAAATGTCACCCCTTTGATACTATTTTAAGACCTCCGTTTTTGGCTGGTTGACACTTAATTTGTTCTAAAGGCACCTTTGGCGCCAATTTATACTATTTTTGAGGGGGTAGTGCGCGCCGAAAAAACACGATCTTTGGTCAAAAGTGTCGAAAAAGTGCCTATAAACGCTTTGTTTTGGTCTGTTTTTTAAAAGGTGGCCTATCTTAGTGTTCTGGGAACGCTCGGAAAATCAATTTGGTCGACCTGAAAATTAGGCTTCTGTGGCTGAGTGGTTAAGGTGTGAGATTCCTAATCTCTAGGTCGCAGGTTACAATCTCAGACGTAGCTCAATTTTTTTTGCTAATTCCAGGCTTATTTTTACTTTTTATTGCACTTTATTGAGCTGCTTTTTTGTGTTCTGACTAGGGTTTGCGAAGCGAAACTTCGCCTCTGTGTAAATGTTGCATTCTTTGCGCGAGATTGATATAAACTTTTCGCAGAGCCCCCCTCAATGATTATGAGTCATTCAATTCTGGTCGTCCTCAAACTTACAATTTTAGTCCCATTGTCTTACGTTGTCAGCTGAAACAAACAGAATAGGCTAAATTTTACTGAGTCTCTCTGTTTGTTTTCTCTGTAAAACTGACACAATTTTGTTTGTTCTTTTAGATCTGGCAATCAGTTCAATCGGTTGTTGAGGATTTGTTTGACCCCATTGTCACTTTTTTATGGTCAGCTCTCTTCTGTGACTCGAAAGGCCTTTGAGAAATCTCTGTTCTAATGTTATAAAGCGATTAAACAATTCAGTATTAATGTTTAATTTAAAACATTCATTGATAAATTATGGCGTATGAATATTCGCATGGTGCTATGAAACGGGTGTTCTGTTTTTTTTTTTTGCGTGTGTGTGAAGAAACCCGTGAAACCACCTTAGTAGTATTGCATCATAAAGGATGGACTAGAAGGGAACTTGTTTTTGGTAGTAAAAGGCTTGATTGAATTCAGTGCAAAATTCTCAGTAGATAACTGTTTAAATTATTCTACTTTCCCTGATAATACGTATTATTGTTCCGAATTTCGAAGAAAATGGAATATTTATGCTCGGTGTGTTATTTATTCAGTCATGCTCTGATGAATGAGCAGTCTTGTGTAAGAACAATCTGTTTCTCTCACTTTCGTGGCTAAAATGTTATTAATTAAGGTATTCAGAAGCTTAAAATTGTTCCGGTAACCGAAGTTACATTGCTCATCCGTAATCATATAGCCCAATCAAAAAATTCTTGTTTTTTAGATCATGGAAATATAACGAATATTGATACAAAAAGGCGCGTTTGTTTCAATCAAAATTCAAGTCACTTAAGTATATGAAGTCTCTTCAAAATCGGACCATTTATTTGATTATCCAGCTGTGTTTTGGTGTTTTTGGTGAGATTAGGATTTAAACGGCGAGGAAGTTTTGAAACAGGCAGTGAATAATCAGAAGCCGGGAGCTGTTTTATTAGACTGAATTGGGACAGTTGTTCTAATCTGCTGAGATATCAATGGGGTTTTGTCTGACTTGGCATTAAATGACTCTTTGGGTATCCCTCGGCCAATTCGTAAAATAATTTGTAGCCTGTTAGCTTGATCTTTGGTATGAAATTGCAGACGGGTGGTGATTTTTGTTTCATTCGTTTTGCCGGCATATGAAGTATTGGTCGAAGAGTCTTGAGGTTCTTGTGGTCAATTATCGAAACTTTATTTAATTTATCTTCTTGTCAGCAACACAAAAAGTTTAAAAATGTTTTTTAGTGCCCATTTTTTAGATCAAGTTTTTCTATGATTTGGTACATTGAATCTAAAACAGGGTTGTTCACATGTAGACTCTGATTGAACTAGTTTGAAAATAAAAATTTGTCACTTTGAGCACAATTTGGTCATTCATTTGAAGGCGACTGGTGATTGAAGAGCGTCTCCTTTTTTTTTAAGTGCTCACTCACGCTATTCGAAGATAGCATGTGTCTCCTTTTACTTTGTGTGGTGATTGGTAGTCATGGAATCACTAGGTTTATAATGTATACTGTTTTTCTAATTAGTAAGCATGATTCGGCTGCCACCTGTGTGAGGTATCTGATTTTCTTGCAAGTTGGGATATCGGTGACTTTCTTGTTTCAAGTAAAACCATTTACAATGAAAATACATTTTTTTGTTTCTGTACTTATACGTCCAGATCGAATTGAAATCCCTCATCCTCATCCTCCGATTCGAACCCCTCCTACCAGCCTAATAAAATTAATGTGATGTGCACTATTGTATTTCAGGTCTCGTCAGCCAGTAGATGATAAGTTAGCTCCTTTCTCACCTGCTTTTGTGCTTCGCTCTCAAACAATATTATTTCAATTCACTCAGTTAAATCAATTAGCACTAACTATATCTGCATCTAATACAACTCATTTCACCAGATACTGACTGATGATTCTAATCTAATACTTTTATAGTCAAACAGTTAAGATCCACTAATTAGCCTTTTCATAGAATTAGATTCTGAAATTATTAGCTTAAATTTTAGTAGTTCGAATAATATTTTGTTTTGTTTTGGACGCTGAAAATACTGGAAAAAATTAACATTTAAAAATAATAGTTTAATGCTTAATTATGATTCTTAAATGTCAGCTTCCTTATTATTTATGAAAATTGTCATTTTCTCATGCACAAATTTTTTCCTTTTGATTTGGAAGCTTGCATACTGGAATATAAAATATACATTGGCAAAAAAAAATCAATTTTTGGGCAAAATCCAAGCAAAGTGTGCCGATCATCCCATGTGAGTGTTTTTTTTTTCGAAAGTACATCTAAAAGCTCTCAGAAGTTGGGGAGGGGGTTTATTGGCATGCTCCTAATTAAGGTATGCGACAAATGGTTGGCTTAATTAAAAAGTGTGTCGTCCAATGTTTTGTGTGGGTTGGAAGCATCTATCCATGTTAATATCAAGTCATAACTGGTTCACTTCACTGCACATTAGTTCATTTGTTGTTTCGCTTATTCGAACTCAATTATTTTTAGCTAACTGGAATAAATTGCAAAAGCAAGAAAATATTTTTTTCCGTCCGGGAATGGAACTCTGGGCCTGTCAATGATGCAAGTTCTTAGCAATGAAGCAAGTTCTGAAAAAGGCGCACGATTAAATCTAGACCAAATCGCGAAATGCTTACAACAGTAATCTATCAAAGCCAATGAATGAAAAATTTCAAAAACTTTGGAGGCTAGGAAATTCACAACTTTTAACTTGTTTCAGAAATGTGAAGGTGAGAGAAGGTGTAATAGATGGGACAACTATCGTGAACAACTCTCTCTACATAGACCGTATAGACGGGGAGAGAGCGGGCATTTACACGTGTGAAGTGGACACCATAGCAGGCTTCGAGTCATCAAGCGGAAACTTCTCTGTTTATTGTAAGTTTGTGTATTGTTGTAAGCTTTCGGTATATCTCTTTTCGTAGTTTGTTATGAAAGAAATGTTTGTCATTTCAATCGGTTGATATACTCCTATGATTTTTTGTACCGATTTAATTCAGGAAAGTTTTAAATTTGATCACGCTCATATTTGACTTTTTGAGACTTGACTTTTGATTTCTTTTTGTTCCGACTTTCGAAGAAAGTCACGGAATATTTGTGCTCAGGGTGATTCTTTTTCTCCAGACTAATTTCCTCTATTTTAATTAGCCATTTTTGAATGGATTTTTTATATCATCTGAAAGCTATTGATGTCTTGAGATCAAATCTAAAAAGATTTTTTCAACCTGTGATCAAATTTCGAAAAGTTATTGTTCCGACCATAGAAAATGGTGAGTAGCTTTGTATTCGCGTTTCTTTAGTTTTTTTTCGACGCAAAATCAGGTGCCACAAGTAATCATGGGAATGATTTGAGTGATATATTATATTAAAGCTTTTTCAGTCGTGATTCGAACGTCTTTAAAAAAACTTTCGAAGAATTTTTTCAGTGTAAATAAAAAAAAACGTTTAAATATTTGATTTTCTGCGTATTTTAGAGCGAATATCGAGCAGGGCTATTTTTTTTCTCAACTAAATCAGTTACCACAAATAATCATTGGGTTTAGTGGAGTGATATATCATAATGAAGCCTTTTTAGCCCTGATTCCAAAGACAAACTCAATTATACGACAGCAATTGTTTATGTAACCTGGAACAAGGGGCAGGTGCCAGTCAGGGTTCTTGGCTGTTTGCTGTTTGAACGCTTTCCTTTTTCTCCTCACAAGTGCATCTTTCAATGACAATTTTTTTCTAAGTTCCCAGCTGGGTTTGAACCCTGTCGTGCTGCGTATCGATCACCAATGCTACTAACTGTGCCAAGCACGCTATAAAACTTAAAACAAATCAAATTTTTACATAGCGAGCCACATGAACAATAGACAACAGATTTTAGATATTGAGTTTTTTGTAGGGCTGTTTAGCTCAAATCCCTGTGAGGACGCGAAGCAGCTTGATTTATTAGTGCCAATTTGATCATTTGAACGATAGTGCAGTCCATTTTTTTTAAATTTTCAATAAATCAAATCGATCAAAGTAAAAAAAGAGTTAAAAAAATCAACTGTCGTACCTGGGCTCGAACTGATTCCCCTGGTATAATGGACATTTGATCATGAAAGAATATAAAATCAATTAAACACTGAAGAGAACAAAAATGGAAAAAATTCAAGTTGTTCAGATCAAACTGAGCAGCCTTCAAATTATTCCTATTCCTAAAACCGCAGGTGTTTACCGTTTTTAATTAAAGAGATATGAATGTTTAATTTCGGATAACATTGAACATAAGTTTGGAGATTCTTTTTTGTCTACTGGGTTTGGGAGTTGGCGATAGATACACTTGACCACTGAGCTTTCTGATTATGAAAAACGAGAAATTTTTCTGTTTACTCGATAGGCAAGTTGAGAAAATAATTAAAAATCTCCGATCAGCATTTGAACCTGGTCATACGGTGTGTGAGGCAAAAATATATACGCTCGGCTATGAAGGTACTTAACAACATTAAAATTTTTCCAAATTTGTTTTTTTTAATTCCCCGATTCTTCTCGGAAGAAAGTGGAATTTCTCCCAGTGAAGTGAATGGAAATTGCACTTCCAGTTTGCGTATTCCCTAGCTTGGGAAGCAAGTCACAATGGAAAAAACGAGGACAAAATAGCGGTAACTTTGCGAGATCGGATTTATACCCTCCAATGTCATTAAGTTGAGAACTCGCGGTGGCTCGTTAAAAGTGGATGGAACTCGTACGAAAAGATTACCGAAAAGCTTACCGAAAAGATTACGAAAAGTTGCATGCGCTCGTACGAAAAGATTACCGGGAAGTCAAGGTGGTCGGCGTTCTCCCCCATCTTACCCCCTGGACTTCCCCGTAAACACCTTTTCTTACCGGGCTCTTTCTCACTTGGTCTAGAGGTAAAGCACGCGCCTTCGGATCATAAAGTCTAGGGTTTGAGGTACGACTAGGTTTCGTCTACTTATTTTTTTAATGGCTTATGATCCAACCCCTAGATTTTTTCTTCAAAGCTTCATTTTTCTTCTCTTCTGATTAACTTTAAATGATAGAGCGAATTCCAATTTTGTTCAAAAATCCTTCTATCATTTAAAGTTAACCAGGTTTGATTTTGTTTGATTGTTTTGCTCAAATAGGTTTGCATAACGCTGTATTGACTGCGTTACCTCATTCTGCTTCGCATAAAGGGCGAAAATAGATAGGTATGCTTTTGTTTATTTCAGAGGGAATGGGGCGGATAAACTCTGAATTGCAATTTTTTTAGCTCTAAATTTTACATTTTGTTTTCGGATCTGCTGGTGTCTGCCCACGTTAAGTTTTATCGCAGAAGTTGCCGCTCTCTGATTGATTCTGCATGCAAATTTAATTGCAGTGATATTATTACTTGAATAGTTTTCCTCAAATTGCACGTCGTTCGAAACAACGTATTTCTTCCTATTTTTCTTATTGTTTCCCTCTCAATTTCTCTTATATCACTCTGACACTGAGAGAATGACGCAAATTTTCCGACAAATAAACAGCTGCGGAAAAGTTCAATATCGCATCGGCAGCGCTGGAGAGAGTTGAGATTGGAAATCTTGGTTTTTCATTTAATGTTTTGGCTAGTCAATAATGTCAAAAAAATTGATTATTTAATTTAAACATTCATTTTTGTTCCGACGACTGAAAATGGGGAGGAGCTTTGTATTCTGGTGTTTTTTTTTTTTTTTTTGGTTTTTCACCCAAAATCAGGTACCCCAAAAAAGGTAAGCACTAAACCAAATGCATGTTTCATCTTCATTATTTTTCTGAAGGTCTAGTGCTTGCCACTTATATTCCGCTTAACAGATTTTTAGCAGATATTTAAAAAAATACGTTAAACTTAGAAAAATGAATCAGTTAAAATTGTTATATAATCATTTTTTTTTGTAATATGGATGAACTATGCATATAGTAGTAGTTTATCTAACGGTTCATCCAATTGTGTTTCAGCTGCTCCCTCCTCGCCTGTGAAGCCGTCAGTGGAGCTATTCACAACTAATAGACAGGGAGACAGTGCCACCCTCAGTTGGCGAACAGTGGCAGATGGCAACAGTCCCATCTCTCACGTCATAGTCCACTTCAGAAAGACTCAAGCACAGGGACAAGATATCATCAACGAAGAAGGTATGTTGGGTTATATAGTCCACAAACCTTCAAGGGTATTTTCATTTATTTTTGTGCAGACGAATATTATCTTTGTTTTTGATGAAGGGTTTTCAATCGAAATATTAAGTCTATCGAAATTTCGTTCGGATCAACCCTCGAAGGAATTGATCGTCCGATCAAAAAAAAAAAAAAAAAAAATCGACTTTCAAATTTTATTTTCCGCATCAGCTCAATTGCCTGCTTTGTAGATATGAAGCACCCTCTGGCATTTGATAACACTCTTGTGATGTTTTAATGTTTTTGCTTTGGGGAGATAGTTCAATTGGTCATTACGAGGGGCAGGAGGGCCGTTGCTTAATTGATCCGAAAATTTTTAAGTGGAGTTACTTATTTAGGTCGTGAACACTTTTTTCATGGTAAACGAAAAATTCTTGAAAGCTGTTGGCGCCCAAATCAATTAAATCGAGGTTTGACTTTTTATCTCTTTTTAGGTTCAATTTGAATTAATTTTATAAATGGAAGGCGATTTTTTATGGCTTTTCCAGCCTAGTGACAGAAATATTATACAGCCTCCATGTTGTGTTTTTATTATCGAGGGCTATAATATGCTGAAAGGGCTGTAATGGGAAATAGCCTTGAAAATTACCTATTGATCCAGTTTTTGGGCTGGTTTTGCCTTAAAAGATTATTAGAATTCAGAGAGCTGTAAGGTCGTATATGTATATATTTTTTGGAAAGCAGTTTTTTTTTCAGTTCCTTGACACGTCTTCATCTGTGTGAGCTGTTTTGCACATTCATGCTTTAGTGTTTTTGTCTCCAAATTCTCTGAATAGTCATAAATTGTGAAGTGGTGTTTAGATATCAGCTGGGAAACATTCGTTACGAAATATCCGCCGCCTAGTTCTGACATGACGAAAGTGAGACTTTTATCTGTTTTGAAGCCATGGAGCTCTTATGTGTTCAAAGTGCAACTGAACAACTCAATCGGCTATGGGAAGTTCAGTGATCTCAGCAATCCAGTTGTCATTCCCGAATCAACGCCAGACAGGGCGCCGGATAATGTAATCGCCACAGCTGTAAATTCCACAGCTGTTGAGGTCACATTCTCACCTGTAAGCTCAGAACATGCTAATGGGAGGATTGTGGGTTACCATGTTGAATACGGCTATGTGGGATTGCAAAGAAGACCCATGAATTTGGAGATTGACAGTGCCTATGCCTACTTGGTCGTGATATCGAAGCTCGGAGTTTACGAGACAGTAGAAATTGCAGTTGCTGGGAGAACGGCCAAGGGAATCGGACCTTTGAGTGATAAGGTCAGAAAAGTGGCTCTTTTTTCTTTTCTCACTAACCTCACTTAAGCAACAATTTTACGGTGGAATGAGGGATTTTAAAAGGTTAAGTATGAAGACCAAATATATTTTCTTAGCCTAAAAAGTCCGCTTGACAATTTTTATAACAATCGGACAATATCAACAAACAATTACTTGTAAAAGTTCAAAGATGGGGGGGGGGGTGGTAGTAGTAGTAGAGGAAAGAGCCAGAAAATGAAGACGTTTATGAATGGTTTATGAAGAGAATCTTGGTTTATAAAGATCTCGCGTTTTAGTCTGGTTTGAAATTTTTGGCATTAATTTAGGCTTCAGTGAAACGAGTTGTAGCATCCAAGTCAAGTTATCAGCAATAATAAGTAGCCTGAGAATTGAAAAGGGAAAAATAATAGTTAAAATGTGGTGTAAGATTAAAATTCTGTTAATTGTAGCTTCCTTTAGTAGTATTTTACAATAGCGTACTCTTTGTATAAAAGTCGATGAACGTAGTCAAGACTCTTATATACGTCGCAATTATATATACTTTTTTTTCACGAAAATTTTTAAATTTGTTCAGGCTCAAATATACTTTTTCGCGGTTTGACTTTTGATTTCTTTTTAAGTTCACTTCATTTCCTTTGTTAAAAGGAAGGCGAACTCCACTATCGAACAGTGAAAGCTAAAAGGTCACGAAAAACGTTAAGAGGTTTCGAAATTGGAATTTAATTCTCGGATAACCCAGCGAACTAAAAAATTTACTTATTGATCCAGTTGTTTTCTCAAATTAAGTAAATTTTATCAAAAAAAATTAATTGTCCAAGAAATTCAAAGAGCTTCAAGGGCATCTATTTGTTTCTTTGAAATTTGAAAGCTGAAGTTTTTTCAACGAACAAGTCGATTTTTTCCGTTTCTTTGCGTTCATTGACTCTTTTTCAACTTTCAGTTGGCTAAGTGTATAATTACTGATGTTGTTTAGGTTCAAGTGAGGACTTTGGAGGATGTGCCTTCGAAGAATATCAAGTTGTCTTTTGACCAGAGGGATGTTACATCGACCAGTGTGAAAGTGAGGTGGTCCAAAGTGTCCTCGCAGTACTGGAGGGGACCTCAGAAACACTACCTGGTGAGAATGAGATCTGAATCAGAATATTTGTCATCATAAAATGTGTTTTTCTTCGAAATTATTATACTTGTGTTTTTATGTAAATTGAATAATTCGGCGACCGATAAGTTTGCAGATTAGTCTGAAAGGGTTTTAGTATGTTTCGCAACTTGAGCACCATACGAGATTTTACTGAGGGTGTCTAAATCGAGTGAAATAAGCCACCTTACATCTTAGATTCATTCCGCTCTACAAGTATTGTCGAAACAATAGGGACGCAAACGCAACTAAGTTGTAGCGTGTAGTTTTATGAATTTCAAATAATTCGAAAATCAAAATTGAAGTTTTCTTCTTAAAGAAGGTCGAAATGCAGTTTGACATGCTGAAAAATCTAAAATAGAAAAATATAATTATACGGAAACTACTATGACCCATTTAAGACAGGAGGACGAAAGTTTCTTTTTAAGATTTATGTCAGCGATTCAGTGGAGAACAGAGAAATTGAAGTGGAACCCCAACACGTATCCTACACCATCCAAGACCTGAAGCCATTCACCAAGTACAGAATATCAGGCTCACTTTTCAACGGCTTCCACTACCCTGAAAAGGATAGCAATGTGTTGGAGGTCACGACTGACGAATCGACAGCAGGACCTGTTAGTAAGATTCGTCTGTTCGATGTAACCGACCAGTCGGTGCGACTCGTGTGGTCCGAGCCACGAGAGCCGAACGGAGTCATATATGCCTACTCGGTCGAGCTGTACAAACTGAAGGTTGGATCGTATGACGAAACCATGACCTTGAGTGACCCTAAAGTGGTTCAATTTGTGAAGAAGTATTCATCGTCTGCAGACAAAACGGAAATTTCCATTCCAGAGTTGAAGCAGTCCTCGCAGTATGTGGTGAATATCATGGCCCTGACCAAATTAGGAAAGGGAGAGAACACTGTGTTCTCGTTTTCGTCCAGTGTGCCGCCGACCTTGCCCGAGCCACCCAATAATATCGAAGTGGTCAATCTCACAGCAACAGCAGCTTGTCTTCAGTTTTCGCATGTGAGTATTGATTAGTTAACTGGAGTTTTGACTAGTTAACTGGATGGAGATATAACAGTTAAAATTTGAAAATAATTTTGTAAAAAATGCATTAGGCTCAATTTTAATTTTTTAAAAAAATTGGGCGTTCTTCGAAGATGGGATTTTTCAAAATATAGTTGATTTTGTAGATTATAAGCAAATTATTCCCTTCTTGAAAACGACTGATTTTTTTTGAATTGTTAATCATTTGAGTTGTAGTCGAAAGTATTTAGTTAAGAACTTTTTAAATCGTTTTGCGGATCATGTGCAATATTAAGCTCTTAGGCACCCCCCATACCCCCGCCCACAGGTTAGTAAAAAAAATTATCGACACATTACAGTAGGTTTTTTTTTTATAAAATCGAAGAGGGGGCTATAATGGGAAAGATCTCAATGTTTCAATTTGATTTGGTCATTTTGGATGACTTTTCTTGTTTTAAAGGGGTTCAGTGGTCACACTTCAATTAATACGTGGATTGTGGAGGTCAAAATGGACTCTCGTGCCTCGTGGACTCATGCTCTGAGAACAAACGTCACAGACAAGCCAGAGTTGACATATCTACAATTGCACGATGGGTTTCTAACACCATTCACACACTATACGTAAGCATGTTTATTGACCCTCTAATTGACCTGTAGTTGATTTGGAATTAAATCAAAACCAATAAAATGTTGCCATTCATTTAGATTTGTTTTTACCTGCAAAGCAAACAATCTTTGCTTGATATTTTCTATGAAACTTAAGATTTTGGGCCATTTAACGGTATTTACAATGAAATACAAGCTCTTTCTTTTCGGTTTTTTCTTTTACAAACTCTTGTGTTAGTGTTAGGATAGGATGGTAAGAATAATTTTGCTCTTTTGCTAGTTAAAATCAGTGTTTTGGTTTCAGAGCCAGAATCACATCCTGCAACATCGTCGGCTGCAGCAGACCAAGTGCCACCTCAATCTCATTCCAGACTCAGCCAGACCTTCCCAGAATTCCGCCTCCGAATATCCTAGTGAGAGCTATCAGCTCCACCGAAGTAGAAGTAGCCTGGAGTCTCCTTTCAGAACGAGACTGGAACGACAAGATATCGAATTGTAGATTCAACGTGCAGTTTAGTTCCAGTTCAGATAGTGGAGTAATGAAGAAAATCGAACTAGATACGAAGAGTAATGAGACGGCGATTCGAGGCTTGAAGCCGAATAAGATGTACACTATTACTGTGATGGCAAAGAATAGTCGAGGAGAGCGGCTTGGCAACAGAATTGATGCAAAGACGTTCGAAAGTCGTAAGTTGAACAATTTTCCAACCCTGGAGTGTTGTGCGAATAATAAATGTCCAAGTTGTTTATGTTGTGTGTTGGATGTTTTAGTTCCATGTGCACCGTCTTCTTTGATGCATAGACCATCGGAGGAGCCGAACTCACTCATTGTCGGGTGGGTGGAGAGTTCGCAACAGTGCCAGAGAGGAGAGATACTCTATTACGAGGTAGTTATTTCATCCATTCAAGTTTATCATTTTTTTAAGAGTCAATGAAACTAGTGATGACACTTATAACAGTCGTGTTGATTTTTTTTGAATTTTTGTTCACGCTCAAATATGATCCTTTTCTTTAAAAGTTCGATTCAAGTTCTTTGCTGAAGAGAAGGAAAATCATGCTGGACTTATGATTTAAAAACGGGTTTCATTTTAAGATTTCCCAGCCGAATAGAAATTTATCTATTGATCCAGTTTTCTTGGGTTAATTTTTATTAGAGTCGAGGAGCGTGGTGAATTTTGATTTATGTTTTTTTTTTCAGGAAAAATCATAAAGTTTGTTCACGCTCAATTTTTTTTGCGGTTTGACTTATGATTTATTTTAAAGTTCAGTCATTTCCTCTGTTAAAGGAAGGTAAACTCCACTATCGGACAGCGAAAATGCAAAGGTCACAAAAACGTCCTTGATTTCTAGTTTCCAAAGTGGAGTCTTCAGTTAATTTTGAGGGTTCATTTCGGAATAATAAAATTTACCTTTAGATCCAGTTTTCTCGACACTTTCTTGATATATTTGGCTTAATTTTATGAAAAAAGTGGCAAGATATAATATATATTTTTTTCAAATTCGAAGAGTTTCAAGGAAATATATTTTTATTTGAAATTTTTAAGAAAATGTCTGTCATAAATTTTTATGGAAATTCAAAGAGGTAAAAGACGATGTATTTTTTCGGGGAAATTCGAAAGTTCTGTGAAATTTTCAAAAATGGTCAATATGGTTTTTGGTCTTTTTTGTCTGATTGCTATGATATTTTTTATACGACGTGAAATTTCCAGGCGCAAAAAGGCTACAATTGAGAATTGAGAAATGCTGTTAAAAAAATTAATGCAAATTGTAATGTGGGTAAATCATAGAAACGGACTATCCTTAGGCAGACCTAACTGCCTTTGATAGATCCTCTGTGAGTCGCAGTAACGAAATCTTATATATTAAATAAAAGTCTGAATTAGCTGATAGTTTTTTTCAAAAAACATCGCTTGCTCCAAGTTTGTATTTGCGAATTGACAGGCCATCAAAAGTAGCTCGAGTTACTTCCGGGTTCTATCGCTCGAACAGCTTGCTCGAAAAGTTTTTTTTCGCGAGTTGTTCGAAGCTATCAAAAACAGTTTGAAAAGTTTCAAACTTTCCTTGCTTACCCTTGCGATAGCAAGTGTATTGCAATCGGGTGCTAGACTTCTTTTTCCAGTAAACAACTTTGTCAACAGATTTCAGCGTGACATGCATGCAGTATGTGCGTCGTATATTTGCGCTCATTGGACTATTACTCTTACTGTGCATCCCTATTCCGCTTTGTTTTTACAATCCAACTAAATCGCTTATTTGAATTTTAGTTTTGTTACATTATAGTTGCTTGTAGTGTTCTGATTTACCTCTGCTATTTGTTTGTATTTTTAAAAAACTTTGACATCGTATATCTTTCCTTTTGTTTTTTTTTCGATTAAAAACTTTTTTCTGCCCAAATGATATCCGCCTATATTTTATCAGGTTGGTGACCTATTTTCGGGTTGTTTCAATGGAAACATATTTTTTATTTTCACCTCTGGATAGCTCAAAATGCTCAACATCCTAATAGAATTTATAATTCAAATTTTTCATGACAACAGGTTTTTTATCGCATTTTTGTTTTTCCTTTTTTCCTGCTTGTTAGGTTTCGGCCTATGGTATAATGGCTTATCAGATTCATATTGCGTCCTTCAACAAGCGAAAAAATGCGTGTCTGTCTTTTGAAGGCGAAGGTGGCGTAATGACTTCTTATTATTCTTAACTTTTTTCAAGAGAAGCCAGCCAATTAACTTGAACTATTTCAAATTTCATTGCTGGAATAGTTTATTACACTAGAGTCAGCTTAGTGTATTATTAAGAACCGTCTTTTTTTTCTATCCTAAGTCGCAAATATTATTACTCGATTTTAGAAAATTTCTAACTCAAAATTTCTCGCAATTTTTTGAAATGCGTAATTTATAGAAAATTTGGCTTTATGCTTTGCGATTTGTTACATGTACAGTTAGTGTGATGCCTTCAGTTTATTATGTTTTAAATTATCAATCGCAAAATTGTGCCTTTTGTATCTGGTGCCTTTTGCTGAATTGCATTGGCAATTTATTAGCATATGTAGCTGCTTTATTCGTGACTAGTGTTTGTCGTTGGTTATGTGCGTGGGTGAGTGGCTAGTGCGTGAGACTCAAAATCTCTTGATTGCAGTAGGTTGTAGATCGAATCTAGACATAACCAAATTGGTGCTAATTCGAGGCTTATTATTTTTTTATTGAACTTTCTAGAACTGCTTTTTGTCATGTTCTCGCTAGTTTCTGCGAAGCGAAGCATCGCCTCTGTGTTTAGATATTTAAGACATGGTAAAAATTAAATAATTTGATATTCAAATTTTAAGTTGCTCATAAATCAAATTAATTTTGGAAATTTAACGCGTAAGCTGCTTTTTTGTTATTAAGAGTATGCGTTGAAATTGTTGCTCGGCTAATTTTTTCGACTGTCCGGTAAAGTACGCAATTAATTTTTAAGAAAATATATATTTTATTATACTTCTATATATACTTTCAACTTTGTTGTTATCGTATCACCATCATTATACGTACGTAGTATGATGAAATTCTTGACGTGAAACTCGAGGGTTTGTTTTATTTGCAGGCACAGCTGCTGTACAACCAGAAGCCGATTGAGACAATTAAAGTGGAGGTCAGTGAAAACATGATGGCAAAGTTTTATGGTCTTCGTAGCAACTTGACCTACTACGCACAAGTGGCTGCTGTAAATGGAGCTGGCAAGGGAGAGTGGTCGAAGCCTCTGAAGAAACGCGCCATTCCTCGAGGTAACGAATTCGTCTATGGGTAATTCTCTCATTGCCCAATTCTAAAAATGAGGGTGGTATCCAGTTACGTAGCAGTATTTAGACATACTGACATCTGCGTATACATACTCGTCAGTAAGCAGACAAATACTGTATTAACCAATCAGAATCGAGACTAATAATTATTTATTTCGTAAGATAGCGTCCTCATCTCGATTCTGATTGGTTAATGTAATATTTGTCTGCTCACTGACGAGTATGAATACGCGCTTGTCTAAACACAGGCCGCACTCCGTGCCATCCAAAGTGCGAATATCGAAAGAAGGAATTGAAGCGTGCTAAAATATGTCGACGCAAACGAGCAAATTCATTGTCTCGCTATAAGAATAGGCAGTGCGCAAAAGAAAATGGGTGCTAAAAATAATGGTTTTTCATGTAGTTTTCGTAGAGCCTCTGACTAGATCGTAAACCTGAGAGTTGTAAGAAAGGTTAATTTTTTTTTGGAAAAAAGCTCAACTTTTTATTTAAAAAATGGCGTTTCGTTAGTATAATTTGTTGAATCAAAGCAGGGGTTTTTGAATTTCATCATTTTGTTCAATGGTCGACGGAGTCAACGAAAGGTTTTAAGGTCTGTTTCGAAAACTATTTGTTCCATTGATGAGGAATCAGCAGGTGTTTCGTTTCAGTTCCCGAGAAACCTGAGAATGCGTGGATTTTGATGCACCGAGGACCGCCCTGCTCTTTCGAAGTGTTTGGCAAGTTCTTCAAAGAAGACTTCGTAGAGCAAATACATCTCGACTACTCCTTGTAAGTTCAAAGTAGTTGCCACCTTCTAATAGGAACTGAAGGGTAAGCTCAGCAGATCAAATATATCAGTTCAAAAGTATTGGAATAGGGCCAATTTGTATAAAATCAGAAAATACAGTGACAGTGAAAATAACAGAGTATCTTAGTTTCTTATTTATAGGAGCAATTGAACGACAAATATGCTGGTATAGAGCGGACTCAGGATTTTCTCAAGAGGGGGCGGATTTTCAAAAAAAAATCGAAAATTTTCTCAACTTTTTTTTTCAAGGTCGGCCAAATTAATTTTCCACGCTCTCCCAAAGGACTTAAAAGACCCTGCTTTGGCCCAATTTTGTGCGCCGCAGGCAAAATTTTGAAAAACATGCCAAACAAGTTGTTTTTAGGAAAATTTTTTCCACGAAATCGAGTTTTTCAGCGCTCGCTCCCCCTCAAAATTGGCGCCGAAGGCGGCTTTAGAACGATTTTAGGGTCCGTCAGCCAAACATTGATACCACAAAATAGTACAAAGGGTGACCTTTTGGGTCGGCAGGGGGTCGAATCCCTGAGGGGGGGAGGTGTCCCTCCCCTAAATCCGCCCCTGTATAGAACAGGGGCGGGGGATTATTATTTTCAAAGTCTAAAAACTTGACCACTAATTGCTTACTTATACTGGGGAGGCTAGTAATTATTAGGAAATTGGGATCTATTTAACCACCTCCCCCTTTCAAGAAGGAGGAGTGCGATTGTAATGAAGATTCGGAAGTTGTTATCCAGGTCTTTTATTTTTATTTTTTTTTCAATTTTAGCAATAAAGGAAGCGAAGTGACTGCTGATTCCGAAGTGAAAAATGCCGAAGATTTTGTCGACGTTGAGTCCAAGTGGTTCAGCAAGACCATAGATGCATGCAGTGACGAAGGATCCATCTCAGTGTCTGTATTTTTCTCAAACTCTCTCGGAAACAGCGGCAAGAAATTGTTCAGCACTTTTATTCCGAGCAAGGGAGCAGAGATTAGATTGGACGCGTTCAACAATTTAAACGAAGACACGACATCGCGAGAAAGTTCGATTTCGTGGAATCACAACGAAAAAGTCAAAGTGCAGAATTTCTCATTGAGTGTAGTCCACTTGGTAGATGAGTTCACAAATGATATGCCAGAGTTAGGAGTGACTAGTTATGACAATTCAGCTAAAATAGTCGGGTTGACTCCGAATCAGAAATATGAAATAACCATTGCAGCGAATGGTTTCTTTGGGGATTGTGCAAAAACGAGTGCGATTATCACAACAGAACCCGATAGTAAGTCGTGTCTAGTATTCTTTTTAAAATCATTTCCCTTGTATCACTCAAAGGTAACATAGACAGAATCTCTCTGTAGGAGAGATTTTTTAGAATTTAAAAGCTAGAACTGGACATAATTTACAGAAATTATATAATGTGACCAGACCTTATGTATTTTGATACCATTATGTTTGTCTGTTTGTTTTTGGAGGTTGAAGCTGCCCACAAAAAAAATATCTGGTCAAAATATATGCGCTTAACTTCTGGTCAAAATAGGGTCTTTTTAGTGTTCTTGAAGTGCTCGGAAATTCAGTTTAGTCGACTTAATGACTTAAAAAAAGGTAGACAAAATTTTCGAATAATTTTTGAAAATTGCCCCCCCCCCCTGGAGAAAATACTAGATCCGCCCCTGGTTGCTCGTATCTATTTTGTGATGCTGAATAATTATGATGAAATTTAATACGTAGATAATGTTAAATGGGAATTGCCGATATATCTACAGTTATGACTGTTGTTGATTTAGTTCCGGACGCAATACCGAGGATACCAGACTACACAATTAAGTCACGCAGAGTAGAATTATCCGGTCTCTCAGTCTCTGACAAGAAACTGAATGGAAATCTAGTCAAATACGAGTTACAGTACAAGCTGAGAGAGAATTCAACAGGTTTGCATTTCTAATCTGTGAAATTAACTGTATTATCATCAAACAACAGCAGATTGTGTTATAATACGATTCCTTTTTTTCTCGAAGCAAGCCTCACATTTCATCGAAAAACTTATTTGCTACTTTGACACGCGCTACATACCTGCTTTAAAGCACTTACATTATTGCTTGTTGTTCCAACTTTCGAAGAACGAGCGGATTATATATGCTTTGAGGTTTTTTATTCAGCCAATTTTCGACTATTTAGCTAGGCGTTTTGGACGGAAATTTTTTATACCATCAGAAAGATATGTTGTCCGTAAGCGACGGATTCAATCGGGTCTATTTGACTTGAAGCTAGTCATTTGGTCATATCTTTAGATTCGAGACGCTTAATCCATCTCTTTGTGTTTTAAATAGCGTGTGGGGTAAAAGGAAACGAAAAAAAATTAAGAAAAAAAAACTTTTTTTTTAGATAATTGATCCATTTTTCACTTAAAAACTTTTAATTGGCTTCAAAGCGCTGTTGGAACATTCAAGGCTTTGTCATGATTTACGAGCAGTCCTGGTTTTTTTAAGCAGTTATCTTTGATAGGAGGCAGTCGTAGTGTATAGTGATTTTCCGCTCTCTATAGCAAATGTGGATTTTAATTGTTAGACTTCACTGTGGAGTAAAAAAAAGACTCAGCTACTGATTTAGTTTTCCCAACATGGGTTCGTTTCTTCCAAAAAGTTTCAGTCATTACACTGGCGATTAGCAAGGATATTGCAACATGTTACTATACTTTGAATTCTAGTACCTGTATACTAGACTTTTTTCACGTAAACCGCTTTGTCTACAGGACTCACCTGAATCCTTCTCGAGAAATATTCTGTTTCAGATAAAGTTTTCGGCCTGATATTTGTCGGCTTTGTTACTATGATTTTTTGAAGTTCTATTTCAATTCGTGTGCTGAAGGAAGGAACTTTTAGCTCTCATATACATAAGTGCAAATGGTGTGAAGAATGCTTTTAAGTTTCAAATTTCTTAACGTCTCCGACACACTTAGCCTGAATAGAGCGATTACGCCTGGAATGGTATATGTCGTGGGTTCGAATCTGAGCAGGACCTGTTTGTTTTTCAAACGGGAAATATTGTTTCAGATAAATTTTTCGTCCTATTATTTGTCGGCTTTGTAAGTTTGATTTTTTTTGGAATTTCATTTGATTTGATAAAGGCAGGGAATTTTAGCTCTCATATACAAAGTTTTCTTGAAATTGGAAGAGCTTTAACGTGATATTTTTTCTTCGAATGTTAAAAAAACGTACTCTTTGAGTTGATTGACTCTTCTCCATCTGTCTGTTGGCTATATTTTTCTATTTGTGATGTAATTTGTGTATTTTAGCCGACTGGCAGAGTGTATTTTCATCGGGAGACAGTAGTAGAATGAGTAGTGGTAGGCAGTTGCAATTAAACAGCATGTATGAGATGAGATTGGCAGTGTGTAATCAGATGGGAAGAGGACCATGGACTCACCTGTTCTACGTCTTCGTCACACAGGACGGTGAGTAGAGACGATTTTAAAAAACAAAAATTGGCACCTATAGGAAGTTTGCCCTCTATCCTCTGTGCCTGTATAATTCCCTATTCTCTTTTTAGCTTACCCCACTTTCTACAGCCTTCGAAAAAGTGTGGGGGGAATTTTTGACCCATATTTTTGGAATTTTCTTCATCTCGAAAACTAGCGTCCCAAATCTGAGATTTTTGGTTTCAATCAAAAGAAAGGTTGAGCGAAGTTCCCGTGTGGAAGCGCTAAGGTCCAAATTTTCTAGCAAAAAGTTATGGCCTTCAGAAAAATAATGTTTTAATTTCTTGTCAGTTTTTTTGAAACGTTTTGACCGGCAAACAACTCAATCTGATATCAAGGGTTAAATCGAGGCAACATTTTGTGGGAAGCCTCCGTGCATAACATGCTACGCCCTAAAATTTGTTCAAAAAATTATGTCTCTGGGAAACTTCCAAAATCACAAAAATTTTACTCATATTTTGATAGAGCAATAACTAGCTTTTGGATAAAGCACGATTTTTAATTTTTTGAATTTACCTATTTCATCCCGCATCAGTACAAAAAATCAAAATTTATCAAACAGGTACCTCCAACTTTAGCTGGACTCTTGTTAATTGTTAGAGAAAGAAGAGATGGTATGATCTGTTGATGAAAAGTAAATGGTGTCCAAGTGAGACCCAGGCCCTGTTTAAAATCGTTTTTTTTTGTATTAAAATGACTATTTTCTGAGGAGAAAACGGTGGGAAGCGTTCAATCAAAATCATACGTCCTAATTCAGAATTTTCGCCGCATGGTATGATTTTGAGATAGTGTTTTCATTTAAACAGTGTCAATGTGAATGAAGTTGTATTATGGTATCGACTGATTGTTTGCACCTGTTTTTAGAAATAACAAAACCACCCCGGGATGTGAAAGTGGCCGAGGGAAGTGCCGGCGCTTCTTTTGTGACACTGAGTTGGCACCACTCTCCCAGTCAGAACTCGGCTCTAGATGCTCTGAACATAAACGGATACCAGGTATTGTTCTCGCAAAAAATGACACATAATGAGACCAAATAGCGGTCTTTGAGGAGATAGCGTTGGAAAATAAGGAGATGCGATAACTGATTATCATAATTGGCTAGGTAATAATTGATCCATAAGCCGTCTTGTCGTTCATCAAATTTTAGAATTGGCAGTCAAGAATTGGTTGAAGATTTTGCTAACATATTTGATTGAAATGATTCAAATTATTTTATAATTGGACATGATATATTATTGATTTTTTTCTGTTTATCGGAATGACTCTGGGCCGCTAGTTTTTAGGTTAAGGTTTATTCACCAAGTTATTAAGTTTGATTTACTAGTGGTTTATAAATGAATATTGTCATAATTTATTTACAAAAAAGATAATAAGGCACCATAACTTTCGAGAATTAATTTCTTGTTGATTGTTTGGTCATGTGTAACCGGTCAATTCTGTCCAGGTGTGTTATGGCAAGTCCCAACTGCACATGGCGTGTGAGTTGCGAGCAGTGGGGGGAGGTGACAGTGGGACTTCGTTGACTGTGGATGGTCTAGTGGGCTTCACTGAGTATGTGTTCCAAGTGGGTGCTTTCAACCACCTGGGGTTGGGGCCACTCTCCTATCCAATCACAGTCACCACTGACATAGGCGGTATGTAAACAGAAAAAGAAAAAGAAGAAACACTTGAATTAGGGTTCAGGACTAAATCCCCCAAGATAAAATCCCACCGGATATAATCCCCTAGGACAAAATCCCCCAGTTTTTAGTTTAAAATCCCCCACATTCGAATTGAATAAAACAGCGACACTAAAACTTGAATTAATTGATGAAAGATAATTAACAGAAAAGAAGTAGATAGATTAAATACTAAAAAACTAAAAGGAAAAGTTAACAGCTATGGCTTTAAGATAATCCAACTTTTTGTAGTTAACGGCAGAGCATACAATTCTTTTTATCTTCCCAAAATTATCCTCTTTCCTTTTCTCTCTTTGAGCGGAATTAAAATTTTTGCAGTGATTGCTGCCTCTGAATCGCCTCAATGATCTTCCATATGTCAGGATTTGACATTTGGAGCATGGATGCGAATCCACGGTGGAATCCTTCAAGGGCGTTACTTGTCCTGGTGTGGTCGTTAATGGTCCTGAAGTAAACGTTCCACATATCCATGTCGAATCGGGATTTCCGTCTCGTCTAGTTTCGCGTTTCTTTGCCTACAAAGGTGTCCTCAAAATAATTCTTGATGTCGTCAGGAATATGGCAACATACTAATATTTTTTAATAGCAGGCTTCTACATGTAAGGCCGGGGCAAACGCAAGAGCAGCTAAAAGACGTATAGCTAGGTTGAATTCTTTGTCCTCGCGATGCTGTACAGCATAACCAAATTCGAGTATCTTTCTATAATTGGCTTGCGAAAAGTGGAAGAAACAACCTTTGATTTCTGTGTTTTGAAAGTTGTCACCCACAGAATTGATGCCAGCCATTTCAAAGTCCATTATGATTGAACTGGGGGGAACGTTATCTGCTTTCAAGTTCGACCAGATAGCGTTGTACGTTTCTTAAAGTTTATCGGGGAGTAGGAACTAGATACATGGAAAAATTGTTCCATCTACGAAGCAGTGGACAGTGTATACTTGGTAGAAGTTATCAGGACAGCTTTTAAAGTTCCACCGATAAGCCAGTTTCTATAAGAATTTAAGATTTCGATGTTTTTGCTGGTTGCGAACACCAAATATCGTTTACTGGTTCGTGGAACTGTCGAATCCTCAAGAAGAAAATCCTCTCCATTCATGGTTTGCATGTATTTAACAGGCAGTTCAAAATCGAACCCTGTTCGGATCGGTGTCTGGCTACGGTTTTCATGTCGCATTCTTCTGATCCTTCTTTTGGGGTGAGGCACCATCGGCATCCTCGGAGCATTCTGGTGTGGCTTTCGCCAGGGCATTTTACAGCACCTTTTGTGTCGAACAGTCCGTGCATGCCGCTGCGTCCGCTTTGATCGGTTCGTTAATGGTATACGTTTCTATTAAAGCATAGTTCGGGCCGTGCGTGTGCTCATGTGGCAACTATTCGAGGAATTCGCCCTTTGAAGTCCATATGCTTACCTTACATTGTTGCTTTGATCGCCGCAACTCGCACACCCACTGAATAGAATTGACTACTTCTATTTTCTTTTAGTAAGCGTAGTTATTGTGAAACGCTTTCTGGCTCCCTTTGTTGCTTAACTCAAATTTGACTTTATTTTGCCAGAGACAAACGTTTAATTGCTATTGGTGGGATTAAATTGCGAGCACGCAAACTGGCATCTTACCTGTTACACTATTCGTTTTGCTGGGACTATATCAGGTGTTAATTTGTTTATCAGTCAACATAAAGTTCAAAATTATGATCAAAATTTCGAACCCGCCCAAAATCAACATTCCGTGATCCTAGGGGTCTGAAATTTTGACACAATATAGAGGTTTTTTTTCGTGGAATTGGGGGGCTTCCTTTCTTAGTTGAAGCCTGGCATTTCTCACCCCTGGGGGTAGATTTAACAGACCTTTACTTTGATTGCGCAAAATGTCCTATTTGGGATTCGAACTCGGGCTGAAGGAATCAACCTTATTTTCCATTCACTTGTCGTACTGACTTGCCACGTGGCTTATTAATTTTTGCATCCAAAGCTCATTCTTATAGGAAGTCAATTGAATGTTTAAATGGAAGTCAATTCAAAGTGGAATCAATAGAAACCTGAAATTATAGAATGTGTACAATTTGATTTCTATCATACTGAATAAAACATGGGGGATTTTGTGGTACGGGGATTTGGTCCTATGGATGATTTTGTCCTGGGGGTTATATCCAGTGGGATTTTATCCTAGGGGATTTAGTCCGCGAGAGCTTTAATTACTATAACATAGTCGATGCATTATTATAATAACCTAGTTAAGTTAATTTTTGGTACATAGTCAGATTAGTTAGTTACTCGTATGTTGGAATAAAATGAGATGAAATTGTTAAACAATAAAATCATCAAATTAAGAATGAACGAGAACAGCCAAAAAAATAGTTTGTACATCTTTAAAAATTGTAAAAGACTACAGAAAAAGAAAGAAACTTAGAAAAAGCTAGTAATTGAAGTAAAGATCCACTTTACTGTAATTTTTCTATTATAGGGAAGCGGGTTTGATGATGATTTCTAGGGGCAATAATGGGAAAGAGCCGGAAAAAAACTTGAAAAGAAAATGGTAGCTTACTGTTTCAGTGATAAGATTAGATAAGCAGTCTTCGGTTTGGATTGATTCAATAATTGCCAGGAAATCAAAAGTTAACAAGTGCTTCAGAAGTTTTCGTGATATATCTCATCATGTTTGGCTAGAAAAGATTTTTCTTAAAAATATTGACAAAATTCCAAAAGCTAGCGACTTGTCGGTTCCCTTGAATTTCATGAGTTGTCGGGGTATCACTTTTCTAATAACGATTGCTAATAACTTAGAAATTTCAAACTAATTAAGTTGTTGTTTTCAGTGCCGTCGAGTGTTTCGAAATTATCAGTGGATGTTTTGACTGACTCTCTTGTGGTGGTTGAGTGGAGTAGTCCAGTGCCTGCTCAGGGACCAATTGAGGACTACTTGATCACCTACAGGGCAAAAAGCAAAAACAACAACGGCAACAAGAGGTCGAGAAGAGGTGAGGTTATAATTTTTTATTGCGAAATTAAACTGAATGCATCTTGCCATATAAGAAGGTCTTTAAGAATTAGTCATCTTTTTCTTATTACAGAATTACTCTTGATAAAGTTTTTGCTAACATATCAGGTTTCTGAACCAGTTTTGAGTAGTTCGGGTCCGAAAGAAGAGAGTTTCTTTGCGGTTTGAAATTTTGGTTAGGAGAGAAAAAAAGACGCGCCTGTAGACCAAATAGGATAAAATCTCGACCCTCAGGACTCTTTTTAATCTGGAATGTGAGGAAATAAGAGAAACGGCGAAGAAATAAGAGAGACGGACTGTATAAAGAGTAGAAGAAATAGTCATTGGTGTAACCTTGTTTGCTTTCAGAAGTTGGAGTGGAGACTTCCGAAGTGGACAGTGCCTCTCTCCTCGCATCCTCTTTCATCACTGACCCCCACTTAACCTCCAACTCAGTCACTCTGAGCGACCTGCAGCCAGGCCACACCTACTCTGTCTCAATCAGAGCCAAAACGAGAGAGGGGTTCGGAGATCCAGTCGCACACGAGGTATTTGCAATAAGAATCAAATCAAATTAAGTTTTTGGGACATTTCAGTTGATTGTTTGAAATATAAAGTAACGCATGAAACCCATTTTTGAAAAAATACTCAAAAAATGTTCTTTCTGTAATAATTTCCGAAAGAGGTCATTTTTTCCGGAGAGGAAAAACGCGTCAAAATATTTTAGGCCAAAAATCGCTTCTAACATTGAACTGAACCAGAATGGTTTTTATCAATATTACAACCATGTGAAGGAATACTGAATTCGATAGCGTAAACATCATAGAAAATTTTGAGCTCGTAATGTGTTTGTTTGAATAGGTGTTCATGGGATCCAGAGATGATTTACCGGCAGTGCCTGGGAAGCCATGGTTTAAGAGGTCTGAAGATGGAAACAAAGATGAAGAAGGGGAGCTGGAAGTGCAGTGGAAGCCACCGGATTACGAGAACGATGAGGAGCCAGTGCTGAACTACGCTGTTTATTTACTCTATTCAGGTATTAGTAATGTATCCAGCGATATGAGAGTTTTGAAGTCTTATCTTTTTCAAACTAAATATTCTGGGCATGTTAACTTTTCGGTTTGATGTTTCTTTTCGAGTTTAGTGACGATAAGTTTGACTTCAATTCAAGTTACTGGGGTAAAAAAGTTACCGTAATTGAAAGTTACAGTATTCAGTTGAAGGAGTAGAATGTATGTTTTTTATTTGGACTGCATTAATTTGAATGCATAAATCGTCCATGCATCCGATATGCTTAGTCACTTTAACACGATCTTTAGTTCAAGCATAAAGTCCTGGGATTCAAGTTGATCAGTTGTATATTTTTAGATCGTTTCAAAACGGAAGCGGTCTTGGTGGATAAGACACTAACGAAGGAATGCAAACTAGTAGTGAACATAAACGAGACTGGGAACCCCTCTGTGGACAGAATCATGACTGGACTCAGTAGAAGTATTCGCAGTAGTAGTAGTAGTAGCAGTGGCTACTTGGATTCTATGTGGATTGCAGTGGCCGCAATCAACAGAAATGGACAGGGACTCCTGGGACCACCATCTGCTTATAGCCCAGGCAAGAGATATATTGAATAACCAAAGTGGTGCTCAGTTTTTTGAAATTTGAAAAAAAAAATTGCGATAATTCAGACAACGAAATGCTTTTTTTTACGCTTCCTTGCAACGCAACAATAATTCGGCACCAGTATTATCCCTAACTTCAAAATGTTTGGATGACTAATTTGACTGGAAAACATCGATTTGTGAACAAAATTAGTTTGAGACCATTAAAGCAGGTCACCCAATTTTTATGCTGGATTAACATGATTACATAATTCGCAATAAATTTAGCTGTCTAAGAGGAATCTTTAGCACCAGGCCTTAACATAGTAACTAACGGTTGCTTTTTACTGGCTTATCAAATGAACTTGGCGAAAATACTAAGCCCTGCCGTTTACCAAATGAAGTTATAATTCGGGAAAGTTCTCTTTTTTAAAGGATCCAACTGTTTTTAATCTACTGTCTCATTTTCGTTTTAGAGGGTGAACTGGATTTGGTTGCTAAGGGTGTGGCCTCTTCTTCTTCGAGTGAGAGTTGGTACTCCCAGGCATGGATTATCATCATCTTCCTCGCTCTCTTCTTCCTCTTATTGATCTGTCTTGCCCTGTGTGTGAAACTGCAGATGACCAATCACAAGTTCACTAGCAAAAAGAAGACCCGCAACAGAAACCAGATCCACAAAGGTACACTTATCTAAATTTTTTTGTTTTCTCTGAAAATGAAAAAGAGTGTTGCATTGCGTTTTTCAGAAACATAATTTAGTGAACACCGGTTGCAGCGAAAATTTCATCAGAGAAGCTATCCTTGTAGCCATTTTTGTGCGATGCAATTTTTATGGCCTTCGTTTTTGACTAAAAAGCTTTCAATTAAATGGTCGAATGGTTTACAGGAAAGCATAGGGCTGCTCCGCCAATACAATGTGAGTTGTCGTCAGTTCAAATAAGTCCGTGACCAGTTTTCTGGGCGATTTTGCTAATAATTATTGCCGTTGACTTGAAATGCGTGTATAAATTAGTGTCCATTATGTGTATATTCATACCCATTTCGTATCGCTTTCCATGTCCAGACCAAAATCTGAAATATTTTAACTTCGGCACTCAATAGAATCAGTCTTAAGGGGGAGTTTCAAATTCAAATTTGGACTATACTTTACTACTCTGCATTACTTAATTCGTGGGTGTCGAAAAATGGGCGTTTTTCATTGGTGTGGTGGGGTCTTAAATTGATCAGTATCAAGTCTGAATAATATCGTGCCTAAATAGAGTCAAAAATTTTCTTCATAAAAATTGGCATGAAGTTTTAGCAATTTAAGGCAATTTTTTTCGCTTAACAAAGATTTATTTGGAGCTCTAAAAATGACCTATTTTCTAAAACTCTGGGTATAAATTTTATAGAATAAAAATTCTGGTGGGATCAAATCAGACCCCCCAGCTTCCATGAAGTTATGAACTAGTCGATTTATGTGGCGAGTGATCCCAAATAGTGCAGAGTTTTATACACATGAATAATTAAATGATAAATGTTTATAGATGTCTATAAATGAAAAAGTTTTTTTTTCATTTATTTCAGTTTTGCAAAGCAACTTGAATCTAACTCATATGAAACGTTTTCATCACCGTCTAGAATGAAATTGCCACGATTTATCTTGTTGTTCTTCCAAGTCGAGCACTCTTATCTTTCAGTAATACTGGAAGCAATAACATGTGCTTCTTCGCACAATAGCACCAATGCAGAAACATGTAAAGAGGAAGAAGGTTTGTGGCACACAAATTGAGCAAACAAACCCAACAACTAAGTGACATTAACGAAACAACAAATACTCAACCAAACTAATCCTTGAAGTGTTTTTATTGAAGATCACTCAATATTTCTAATTGTTCGCAAAGCCAACTTTCTAATTCCCACTTTGTCAATGTTACTTGCCTTTACTATGTTTTGAAATGTGTGGCCAAACTCAATCGACCACGCTTGATAGCCTCACTACCGCAGTTCTGGACAGTTAAAACTGACAGCTGTTCCAAGCACTGAAGAATCTATGGTTGCAGATTGAGTTTGACAATCCTAAAAGATCTATAAAATTCTCATTATTCTTTTCTTCATAAAAATAGAGGTAATTAGTTTGACTGTGTTTTGTGTAGATACGATGTTGCAGCGAATCCACGAAGCTCAGGAGATGCAAGACTACCTTCCGAACTCCTCCGATCTAAATCGGAATTCCATCGCCAGTACCACTGTGCAAATGTCAACATCATCACACCCTAACTCAACCAACGCAATATTCAACAGCGTACCCGCGTTAGACATTGCGCCTTCAAAACACAATATGGGATCTCTGAGACGCAAAACAGGAGGGGGTTCGCACACTTTTCAGAACAGTTTAGCCCATCATAGACCCATGTCACCCATGGGGAGTGTGGGGGGCAAACATAGGAGTATGGAGTTGGGAATGGGAGGGGCAGGGGGGTTCGAGAGTGGCGGGGGTTACATGAGGGCGGAGGGGGCTCTGACGGGATGTGATCCGAGTGAAGAAAGAATGGAGGGTGATTCGGACTCGGCCAACTCATCATCGCATCAGCCGGTTAGTCTGAACATAGACCAAAAGAGTATTGATGGAGAGCTTTTTGTACATAAGAGGAGCTTGTAATAAAATACGAGTTCATTTTTTCAAACAATTTTGAATATTTTAGTACCAAGTTTTTGCTTTTCAAACAGATTGAGCTGCCTATATCCGCTTTATTACACTAGCCAGCATAGTGTAACAGTATGACTATTCTTTTTTCCAACCTAAGTAGCAAATTTTGTTGTCACTTTGGATGGCACCTTTACGGCTTTTTGGCAGAATGTGCATTGACATGCGATTGCTATTAAGTTAGCGCAGTTGATGCATTTTTAATTCATCAAACGAACCGAAAAAAGCTATTTGTTACAATTTATTACATGCAAAGCTGGTGCAATTGCCTTCGGTTTGTTATTTTCCAAGTTTGTCTCTTTGCATTTGTTGTCATCTGTTGCTGCATCGCATTGACAGTTTTTTAGCATATGTCGTTGCTTTAATTGTGGTTAGTATTATTACCATTACGATAAGCGAGGGTATTGCAACCGGGTACTAGACTTTTTCCCCGTAAAAAACTTTGTCCACAGTACTCGTCTGGACTCATCTCTACCTTGTTTCATAATGTTTTCAAATTTCTTAGCATCCCCGGCAAATTAGCCTGGAGGTAATGAATATGCCTAGAATGGCAAAGGTCCTGGGTTCAAATCTGACCAGGACCTGTTTTTTTTCAAACGGCAAATATTCTTTTTCAAATGAAATTGTCGGCCAATTATTTGTCTGCTTAACTGTTGTCGTCTTAGTTGTCACGTCATGGAATTGTTTTTTTTTGCTCAATTTTTTCTTTAAGGTTGCTTTAAGTGTTTGATGTATGCCTACATTTTGTAATTTTACTTACCTGGACTTCATATTCCCTTTGTTTACACAAGCAATGCTTGTGTTATAGTACGAACTCACATTTTTCCAACCTGAGTCGCAAATATTGTTGAGACAAAATGTGTTCATTTTTTAAAGTGTTCATTTTGAGCAGTAACCAGCTATTAAATACAGCCAATGCTAAGGATAGTAACACAGACTATTATTTTACAATTTCCTGTTTGATAAAAGCAGGTAATATGAAAATGTATGGGATCGGGTTTTTTTTATTATTTTTGAGACCCTTTTGGAAAATTTTCGTTTTTCTCGAAAACTGCTCTACCGAATTTCAAAAGAGTGGTACCAATGGGACCACCGGCCAGTCCCCTGTTTGTCTGCATACTCCCATATCCTCTTTTTACCTTGCCCCACTTTCTATAGCCTTCGAAAAAGTGTGTGGGGTGAATTTTTTACCCAAATTTTTGGATTTTCGTGAACTACCCACGCAAATCTGCGATTTTGGGTTCAAGGTTAGGACAGATTGTGGGAAGCTACCCTGCATCAGCGGCTAGGTCCAAATTTATGTACACAAAAAAGTTATGGCCCTCTAAATAGTCAGTTTTTTGATTTTTTGACCATTTTTTGAAAGTTTTCAGTTTTTTCAAAAAGTACCCTCCCAAAAGTCCGAGGGTTTGGTTGCAATGAGGAGAATGGGTTAATGGGTTGTGGGAAGCTCCGCTGCTTAAATGATTACGCCGATTTTTTTACACAAAAAAGTTATGACCCTCAGAAAAGTCGATTTTGTCACCGTTTTTTCAAACTTGTTGACTTTTCTCGAAAACTACTCTCCTAAATCCGAGATTTTGGTTTCAATAGCTAGAACGGGTTATGGGAAGCTTCGCTGCATAAAGGGTTACGCCTAAGTTTTTTTACAGCAAAAGTTATGACGCTCCAAAAAGTCAAGTATTTGATTTTTTGACTGTTTTTTCAAACTTCTTGGCTTTTCTCAAAAGTTACCTTCACAAAATCTGAGTTTTTGGTTTCACTGAGTAGAAATGGTTGTGACGCTCCAAAAAAATTTTTAGACCAAAAGTTATGACGCTCCAAAAAACCATTTTTTTTAACTGTTTTTGAAACTTTTTGACTTCTCTCGAAAACTACCCACCCAAATCTAATGAGCAACGTTTTAAGCATCTTTCAACCAAACAAGCTCTTGTTATGACTTCAATTTAAAAAAATTGAAGTATTTAGTGTTTCAACAGATTCTGAAGTCAATAAATTGGGATTTAATTTTCTTTGCTATAGGTATGTTTTTGAAATTAGCATTGTCCTTCCGCATCAATACATAAATTTCATAAATTATCCAGCAGGTATTTCAAGCTTAACTTGGCCTCTAGTTCTTGTAGTCTTTTCCATTTTTTCTAAAAGTTATGTTCTTCAGAAAAGTCAATTGTTCGATTTCTTATCCGTTTACCTCAACTTTTGACTTCTCGAAAACAACTCTCAAAGGTTGAATCAAGGCAACAGGTTGTAAGAAGCATCCGCTTATAAACTTCTACGCTATGAAGTTTGAACAAGGAACATGTTTCTGGAAACATTTCAAAATTACAATTTTTTCACTCATTTTTTAATAGAGCAACAACCAAGGTTTTGGGTGAAGACCAATGCTTCAATTTTTTTTTTAACTACCTACTTCATCCCGCATCAGTACACAACTCAAAAATTATCAATCCGGTACCTCCAGCTTTAGCTGGGCCACTAGTAGCACTTTAGCTTCAAGGTATCATGCATCTAAAGCGCAGAGGTAGGGACGGAGACTCGCAACAAAATAAGAGTTCAAACCTGGGCAGGGTCGGATGTTTTTAATGTGAACTTTTTCGTATGCTACTTAAAATGCGTCCGCTCTATAAATTGAGGCATATTAGTTGGTAATTTTTTTTTCAAATTGACTGGTGCTCCTATTGCGTTATAATTGGCTTGCGTTACTTAGCAATTATGTAGACTCAAAGTTTTACTCATTCAGTTTTTCCCAGTAGCGTAATCGGTCATATTTTTGCTTGTGTATGCGAAGTGCAACTTCGCCTCTTTGTTTTTTGTTTCGCTAAAAAAAAATTCGGCCAAAATTGTTTTGGCCTATTTTTCATCGGACTTATGACCTAATTTTTGGCCGTTTCACCCATGCAAAAATTTTAATTTTTCTCAGAAACTTTTACTGATTTTCAAAAAAGGGGTATCAATTGAAAAACTGCTTACTTTTCTGTGTGCATGCGTTTTCCCTGGAGTCTGTTTTATACTGACTTCTCTGTCTACAGCCTTCGAAAAAGTGTGGATGGTTATAATACCCATATTTTTGATTTTTTCGTTTTCTCGAAAACCACTTCCTCTCAAATATGAGTTTTTGGTTTCAATGAATTGAACTTTTTTTTGGAACGTATGCCATTTTTTTGCACGTAAAGTTATGGACTTCGGAATTGTCAATTTTTGACCGTTTTGTGAATTTTTCCACTATTTCGAAAACTAACCTCGTAAATCCGATTAGAACGCGTAGTGGGAAGTTCCTCTGCGTTAGCGGACACTAACCAAAAATTTAACACAAGAATTTATCGCGCTCTGAAAATTCAAATTTTTGTGTTTTTGACCGTTTACTCGTTAACTTTTTTAAAGTTTCTCATTTGCTCATGCTAATACGCCCAATTGTTTTGACTCCAAATGATATGGCTCCCGGAAAAATAAAAATTTAGGTTTTCCGACCGTTTTTTTCGAAGTTTTTGACTTTTCTCGAAAACTACCCTCCCAAATTTGAGATTTTGATTTAATTGAAATTACAGGCTGCGTGAATCCCTTCTGCATAGCGTTTCTGTATATTTTTTTTCAGACAAAAAGTTATGATTCTCGGAATCGTCAAATTTTTGATTTGTTGACCATTTTCTGGATTTCTCTCGCTAACTATCCTGCCAAATCTGATATTGTAGGTTTAATCGAATGAACAGTTTGTTAAAAGCCTAGATTTACAATTGGATATACCCAATTTATTGAAGAAATTAATTATGGTCTTCAAACGAGTCAAAGTTTTGAATCTTTGGCAGTTTTTTGGAAACTTTTTGACTTACGCGAAAACTACTGGTCCAATTCTCAGGTTGTGTTCAATCGAGAAAACCGGCCTTGGAAATCTTCTCTGCTTAAGCGGTCATCACCTGCTGTTTGCTGAAAAATGTTTTCTGGAATTTTTTGAGTTTTCTTATTTACACAATCAATTTTGAGATGAAAAGTTCCATTAAAAATACGAGTTGCGATAAATTTTTATGCAGAAGCGGCGTTTCATTAATTCTTTGTAGAGGAAATATATCTCCTTGGGAAAATTGTTTATCTCAAAGTTTCTTACGTATTTTGGTAGAGTCCAATTTTTGAAATCACACTTTTCGTACCGCATCAGTATAGCAAATTCGTTCAATATCGAACACGTACCTCTAGCTTTAGTTGAGCTCGTTGTTGTTTTTTATCGAGACATCCGAAAATTTTGTTTCATCATGTTTTTTTTTCAACATCTAATTTTTTTTTCATGTATGTGTTGCATTGCAAGTGGTGCGAAGCTCTGCTTCGCCTTTGTGTAGTAAATTGTCAAGGCCCTATGGCGCAGATGTGAGGACAGGAGACTCCAAATCTCCTGTTTGTTAGATTGAATGCACCACAGCAAAAGTTTTACTTTTCAGGGCTTACTTTTTCTCATATCCCTTAGGCTTTTGTGTGTTATCTCGCTAGTGCTTGCGAAGCGCAGCTTCGCCTCTTTTATGTATTTTTTTCATTCGTTACTACCCACACCTTGAGAAGGTGGATTAAATTGGTAACCCTCCACTGGGACCGAAGTGGGAATCGAAACCGCGACCCTCAGATTAAGATACGCGCTCATTTATTTGCTACCTGATATTAAAAGTAATGAACGTACTGAGTACTCTTATATAGGTCTTGCTGTTTTTTTTTTTCAGGAAAAAGTCTTAAAGTTTGTTCACTAAGTTCAGTGCATTTCTATTGTTAAAAGGGAGGCAAAATCCACTATCGAACAGCAAAATTGTAAAGGTCGCGAAAAACGTGATCGACTTCTAATTTCGAAAATGGAAAATAATTATCAGATTTCAAGACCATCTGTTTTTTTCTTCGAAATTCAGAAGTCAGTTTTTTTTGCGTTCTTTATTCTTTTCGAAATCTCACTTGGCTTTGTTTTAATTTTGCATCATTTTAAGGAAGATAATCTAAGCAGCAGTGGTTTAGTGGTTAAAGATATTTTAAGAGTCGATGAACGTAGTTCAGACTCTTATATAGGTAATGATGATTTATTTTCGTTTTTTCATCAAAAGTTTTAATGTTTCTTAGTTCAGTTCGTTTCCTCTGTTAAAAGGAAGGCAAACTCCAGTATCAAACCGCAGGCTTTCTTTTAAGAGTTATGAGCGTAGTAAAAACTCTTATAAAGTTCGTGGTGTTTTTTTTGTTGTTTTTTTTTCATGAAAAGTCTAAAAATTTGTTCACCTCAAATTTGATATTTCGCGGTTTGACTTTTTTAAATTCAGTTCATTTCTTTTGTTAAAAGAAAGGCAAACTCCGCTATCGATTAACAAAAGTATAAAGATTACGAACAATGTGATCGTCGTCTGATTTCTAATTTGGTTTTTTATCATCAGATTTCCCAAAATGGAATAATTCTATCAAAAAGTGCCAACCGAAAATTGTTCAAGAATTCAAAGAGCTTTGACTGCACCTATTTTTTCTTTGCAATTCGAAAGTTGAAATATTTTTACATAAACAAATTAGATTTTTTTCTTTACTTTTTTTATTGACTCTTTTCCAACTGTCTGATGGCTATGTTTGATATTTTTGCCAGGTTGTTTTTCCCATGGTCAAGGGTGTCCATCAGGCAAGACTAGTGTTAAAACGATTTATAGCCTTTAAACTGTGGTTTTACTATTATGCTGGGGTGATATAATGGAAAAGAGCCTTTCAAAGCTTAATTTTTGTTCTCTCGCAGTTCATTATCTTCATTTACAGCTTTTTCTTGTCGGTGTCTGCAAATTGCAGCTTTGTCTCTGTCTAAACATTTTCCCCTAACTTTTCCAAAACAATTAAATTTTTTTCGGCGGCCAGGCTCGTAACTTATGTATGAATTTGTAATACCCGAGAATATCTATTAATGGACATTAATCTAATTTGTAGTTTCATATACGCGCAGTCATTTGTTAGACTTTATATTGTGAACTAAATTAGAAACTTCGATCATGTGCAAAAGTTCTGTCCTAGAATTGACTGTTTATCGGACAAGAAAGGTATAGCTTTCTAGTTGATTTATAGACAGATGTGTGCCAAAAGGGGGCCCGGTTCAGCTCGGGTTCATGAAAGATACATTTTAGAGCTTAAATGGGCTGCAAAAGAAGAAAACAGCTGCAAAAGTAGAGCGATCGAGTTTAGTATAGGTAGTTGAATTATTGCCACTGCTTGCATATATTGTGGCTAAAATGTTATTTTCCTGAAAGAAAGTATATTGATAATTTCAAAAGTAATTTGGAAATGAAACAGATGTGTATTGAGACTCCCTCAAAGATTTAGGTTTCTTGTTGAAAAAATGGGTGTTTGATATTTTATCGGTATTTTTAGGCTATGTTGCATGCGCCATAACTTGCTAAATGATTTGAACTAAATACATTTTTTAAGCAAGCTGACCTACTTGAAAGTTAGTGAATAAAATCATCTCATCGAAAATTTATAATGAAAAAACTTTGTTTTTTGAAAAATGCTTTGGATGTTTCAGGATGCCTTAGAGGACTTTCAGCCTGGTTATCCGCACCATCAGGGATCCAGATTGGCCCCTTCTTCATTCTCACCCTCTGGCGCAGACTCAGCCGTGGACTCCCCTTTAGCCTCCGAAATGGGCACTTTTGGTCGATCTCATGCGAAGAGAAGTCAACAACTACAAGTAGCCACCACAACAACCCCAGCTAATTTGAATCCTAACACACTGTCGCAAACACGCGTCCCACTCCATATGAATCATAATAATAACAGTAATAATCACGTCAACAACAACAGCTATAGTAAACAAGTGCCTGCGAGATATATGAATGGAAACGCTATAGAAAGGAGTCCAGATATGTACTACCCACCTCCCAACGGGTTACCAGGCGTTCAGGGAAATCATCATTCATCCCTGGGTTACAACCCGTCCTCTGCACTGAGATCCAGTAGAAGTGATAGTGTGGGCAAACTTGGTGCTACTATTGAGTTCGGAGACAAGTCCAGAAGTTCGGCATCGCAAGTTCCACTGAGCAGCTTCAGGGCAAGTTTGGAGGAGGACGAAGACTCGGTTTAAAATAACATGCGCATTAATGGATAAATTGATCCATCAAAACTCCATATGTCTCTATCTTTGAACTACATTAATTAGTTTTCTATTCAAATAAAAACTAAATTCTGTTTATACTGAGAGTGTCAAAGCTACTTGATACTTATGTTAAAGCTTCGTGCTGATCATTTTTAGTTTTGTTGAAATTGAACTGGAGTCGAATCAATCGAGGAGTTCATTATTGTTTTTGTAAAGTTATGCAGCTATAATTTGTGCCGATTGCAGATTTTCGCTGAACTGTTTAACATAATAGTAGCTAATTATTAATTTCTTCTATTCCTTGAATTGTTAAATTATCAATTAAATTATCGGACACATGAATGTTGGAAAATTAAATCTTTTTACGACTTATTTTGTGAGTAATTTTAGCTGAGCATGATTCAAGTTCAAAATTGATGATATAAAAACATTCTCGGGGCAAACGATTTCCGTAAGTCACGGCACAACATGCTTGATAGAACGACAGACAGGCACTTGAACTTACGGATAGCGTTTAGAATAACTTAAAAGCGCACAAGCGTAGCAAAATGTTGTCAGGCAACTTTAACTTTCCCACGAAAGATGTTATTTTGATTTTCAGCTAGTTTTTTTCGCATGTATCATTGTACGGTATTTAAACTAACGATCAGGGTAGTTTATTATAACGAACCTTCTTTTTTTCTAACCTAACTCGCAAATAAAAGTGTTCACTTATTTGGTAATTTCACTGTAGCATTGGAAACTGCATAGTATGTTCTCTCCTTTATATGTGGCTAGTATTTGGTAACTAAAGCGTCCGTGGTTAGTGTGTGAGACTCTTAAAATCTAGGTCACCATTTCGAATCTCGGCGGTAGCCGAATTAGTCTTATTGCACTTTGTAAAGCTGCTTTTTGTCGTGTGCGAAGCGTAGCTTCCCCTTTGTTTTACAATTGCGAGAGCAAGTGTTGTAATCGGGAAATTCAGCTAACTTTTCTGTGAACATTTGGGATTTCGAGGACTTGGCCTGAAGTTCATGCAGTCGAATCCTAGTGTCTGGGGTTCGAGTCACGGCTGGATTTTTTGTTTCATTTTTTGTGAATCTGAAATTTTTAGAGGGAAAATTTGCCTTGGCCAATTAGTTGTCTGCTTTAATTTAGTGGCTTAGCTGATACATCACAATTTTTTTTTGTGCTTTGAGTACTTTTCCTTGTAATTGCAAATATTGCTGATTTTCTGTATTTAATTTTTGCTAGCCCTGGCTTTGCATATTTTCTCCTGAATTTTTTTCCCTCCTACATGGATTCGGCTTATGTTGTATCGTCTTCCTCAACTTGTATTGCGTCGTTTGAAGGGCGAAAATTGTTTTTTATTGTAGATTAGCTCAGGCCGGTTGCGGTGAAAAAATTCAAAATTTTATAATGTAATCGCTCAAAGCTTTCATGACGGTAATTTCTGTCATAAAATTTCTGTGACTGTTTTCTGTTTTTGGCTCAACACTCATGGGCCCACTTTTTGTAGGTATAGTGTCCACTCGAACAATAGTACAAGAGCAGTTAATGCTGGTAATTGTGTTACCGACTGTTTCTGCAATTTGGTTTTTTCCTTTATTCCAAATAAAAAATTTTATTCTTCAAATTTTGCCGACAGTAATTTCTGTTTTTGTTTGCAAAGGGTTGCTTGCTTTGTATTGCAAGAGACGCAAAGATCCACTTCGTCTCTGTGCACAAACTTCTGCTTAAAAAATTTCTCAGTTCAATTTGCAAACGCTAATCTACCATGATTCCACCGTGGGCACTTACAGCTCCTGATATTAAAGTGCTCGTGGTAGTTTTTATTGTCAAGGCTACTATAGGGACACATAAAAAAGCGAGTTAAGTGCATATGTCTTTTTTGCTAAAATCTTGTTAAAAAATTGGTAACTCCGATTGGATACCGATTAGTAATATTTTTTAAATATTGAAAATGTATTCGGAAGGAACTCGGGCCTAGCTTTTTGCCACATAATTAAAATATAAAAAATTGTTATAAAGTGTCAAGTAAAAATTTTTAAATGAAAAAGAAAGTTTTCAGACTCATTTGCAGCAGGTGCTTGGTAATCTATAAAACAAATCATCCAATTTTTCAAGTTGGGTTTCTTGATCATTTATAAGCTGATAAAAAAGTGTTATTCAACGCAGTGAATCTGTTTGCCCTGGTGTTTTGCGCAGGTGCTATTGTTTTAGTTCAAATCTTGAAATTTTTGAGTACAAATCTTGGGATTTTTTGAAAGCTTGAAATTGTTTTAGTACAAATCTTGGGATTGAAATGGTCATTGGAAAGTTACTGTGAGGGTCTCCTTCGCAAATGTTGCAAAAAACGCATTTTTTTAGCTTCAAAAACAAGGTTTTTACATATCTTTTACTGCGGGTAGAAGAAGGTACCTTTTGACCATAGTTTATTTTAGCAACAAAAAGATTAATATGAAAACAACATTCAGCAAACTTAAAAGCGATACATTGAAAATGACAATGTTTTCTTCACCTTCTTTTTGGTTACGCTCGTAATAATCAAACCTTATGAAATCAGAGCGTTGTTTTTTGTTCAAGTAAACAACTTATCCAGCAGTTTAACCATTTTTTTGCTGATATATACTTTTGCTCAACGAGAATAGTTTTTTGAACATTTTGAACACCCATTCAATTTGAAAACTGTCTTCTTACACCCATTCAATTTGAAAACTGTCTTTTTACTATGTGGGTTGCAAATATACCGATTGCTAACTCCGATTTAGTATGATTTTGTTTTTTAGTTTGTTTTTGCATTTTTGCTTAGAGGGCTTAAAAATTTTTGGCTTTTCATATTAGCTTTTGCACTTCAAATTAATTGGTTTTTGATCCAAAAATTTTATTATGCTCGTGTGTTTTTCGAAAGATAATGATTGTTTTGTCAACTGTTTTTGCACAAAACTGTTTCTTTCGCCCCAAAGGGTGCCTTCTCAAAAAAATAGTGGCTTTACTGCTGATGAGTTAGTTTGGATTTAAAGCCAACTCAAAATAAATTTATCTTTTTTGGCATGGTGTTCTTAAAATTAATTTTTGCTTAAAATAATTTTGAAAAAAGTTTCCCAATTCTCGCCAACGTTTTTCCACTTTCGTCAATTATCACAAACAAATTTCTCGAGAGGCCAAGTAGCATACTATGTTTAAGCCTTTTGAATCGGACTTAACAAAAAAATTTCAAAAATTTTATCTTGGTGTTAATAAAAAATTTTCCATGGGTTAAAATCATTTTCAGCAAAAGAGTTTTTTAAAAATGAAATAGAAATTAATCAAGCGTATTTTGGCTTATTGTAAGTGTCATGGATTTCAGGAAAAAACTCAACAGGTATACTATTTTTCTGGAATTGACTTTCGTCAATGCAAGGAACGTGGATTTCAATTTATATCAGTTTGATTTGGGCTGTGTTTTGTTGCAGCTAGTTCGAAAGACAAAACTGGTTGATTATGTTTACTTAATACGGTATAAAAGTTTTTCAACGAAAAGACTATCAAAAAAGGCAAAAATTGTATCAAAAAAACTTTCAGGCAAAATTTTCTATATTCGAAGTTCCGACGCCACTTTAGCTTTTTTGTTGCCTTTCAGGAAAGAGTCTTGCTCTTTTTTGGCGTTTACTGGTTTAAATTTCGTTTTGTTGCGCTTGCAATTAGCAAATGTTACCAAATCAGAGCATTCAATTTCGTCCAGGTAAAAAAATATCGAACAGTATTACGAAATCGTTTTGTCATAGGCTACTTTTCTCAGTTTTAATGCGAGTTGCAAATTTCCTGATTGAAAACTCGGATTTGATTTTTTTAAATTTGCTTTTGCTTTTTTTATTTATACGCCTTGAAAACATTCAATTAATTTTTAAAACTTGTTAGCCTCAAGTTTACCAAATCAGAGCATTCGATTAGCAAATGTTACTAAATCAGAGCATTTAATTTTGTCCAGGTGAAAAAAATATCTAACAATAATACGAAATTGTTTTGTCATAGGCGACTTTTCTCAGTTTTTGATGCGGGTTGCAAATTTACCGACTGAAAACTCGGATTTGAATTTTTTTATTTTCTTTCGCTCTTTTAGCTTATACGCCTTGAAAACATTCAATTAATTTTTAAAATTTGCTAGTCTCATATCAAGTCATTTGTTGAGTCAAAAAATTTTATTATACTTGCGTATTTTGCGAAAAATGACTTTTTTGGAGGGTGAAATGTTTTCGAGTTTTCAAGTTTTTTTAAAGCAATTTCTTTTTACTCAAGGGCTGCCTTCTCTAAAAAAACTGTACTAACGCTTCGTTAGATTTGATTGGGTGCTAATTAACATTACAATATTTCACTTGGCTAGATTTTTTTTCAGTCAAATTTAATCAAAACAAGTTGAGACAGAGATCCAAATAATTAGTTAGATCTAGTTTCATTGAAATTTTTTCGATTTTTCATCATTGCTTCATGTTTTCCTCTCGTAATTGTTCACGTTTGTTAATGAAAGAAAATTACTTTTTTCTACAGAAAAAATTTTTGCATTAGATTCACAATGGTTTTTCTTATTGGGTTAAAAATGAATACAAAACCGGCTAAACGAAAACTACTCCGTAAAACAACTTGCGTAAAGTCTTATTTGCCCACTTTAATCAATTTAAGGGACAAATTGTACAACTGATCCAAAAACTTAAAATCGTTTTTTTTCTTTGTATACTTCAGTCAATTTAAGGGACAAATTGCACGATTGATCCAAAAACTTGTTTTTTTTGCCTAATTTAATCATCAATTCAAAGTGTACAATTAATCCAAAAACTTAAAATTGTTTGTTTTGCCTACTTTATTGAAATTCAGGGACAAATTGCACGAATGATCCCAAAACTTAAAATCATTTTTTGCCTACTTTAATCAATTTAGGGGCCAAATTGCACGATTGATCCAAAAACTTTAAAGTAAAAATGTCAGTCGTTTCAAAACTTTCCTTCCAACAGTCTTGAGCCTAGATATTAATGGAAACTCACTGAAAGACCTTATAAATATCTTTTATAGACGTTTTCCGGTTTTCATGATTTCCAATGCCATCAATTATAAGTTCAAACATGGAACCCGAAACACGGTGAAAAATTATGCATATTTGGGAAACAAGGTGGGAAATACCCATCAAAAATTCTTTAACATTTTTAAGATATACAAATCCGGGTACCCCAACTTCATCAACAGTTCCTAAGAATATTTAAAAAATGACTATCCGGATCCCCCAACTAACACAAGAACAAACATTTCCCCAGCATCGTTTTAACCAAACTTTTGGTCCCCGATTTCTTCTTGTGCATTGGAAGTCATGTCAATGCACTGTTCAGAAAACGCAAATGACTCAAAAACTG